CAACCAAATATACATCAAAACCACTTTTCAAATTAAATTTTTGAGACCAGGCATGAACAGATTGTTTATTCCAAATGCCAAATTGGTCACTCTCTGTTGACTCATTCGTATTTATTGAAGAATGAGGCAGTACTAACATGTAATTACTGCCAAACTGATTTTACCATAAAACATTTTATTAGAATGTGAACGTTTTAGAACCATAAGACCATATTTTTATAATGAAATACTTGGATAGATGTTTTTAAAAAACAACAACTGACAACTGGCTATTTCGACCAGAAGACAAGACTTCCTTGGCTGGGGCCATACTACATGCTGCACTTTTCCCCTTTCTATAATTGCTGAGAAGGCAGTGCAGAACATGCTGCAACTTAAGAAAACATATGCAAATAGAAACTGTCTTTATCAGTTTGACAGTGCTGTTGCAAATCCTCACAAATCAAACACAAATAGAAAACAGGCTGCAAATCCTCACAACACATACACATTAAGAATGTTAGATAAATTAATTTTATTCATTTCCATATGTTCTATTTATATTCTTTTTATATATGTATACTTTTAAAGGAACCCAACATTAATGTTGAATGTGTGTGCTTCTTGATATAATCAAATGCTCAACTGTAGTTTCAATTAGTTAAATGTGCCAGTTGAAGGAATATTGTGCTGACAATGATTTGATTATATGATCAATAGGATTCTACCAAACACACTGTTTAGACCAGGTGTGGGCAAACTTGATCCTGGAGGGCCAGTGTTATGCATAGTTTAGCTCTAACCCTATTCAAACAGACCTCCCTATAGAGTTCAAGTGAACTTGAAGACACTGATTTGTTTGTTGAGGTGTGTTTGACTAGTGTTGGAAAAAAACTCTGCAGAGACACCGGCCCTCGAGGATCAAGTTTGCCCATCCCTAGTTTAGACCAGTGATTAAAGACAATGCATCATCATCTGTTTATATGCCTTTATATGAACTGGACTCAAAGGACTGCCCTTTGAGCAACCAGAATGGAACCTCTTGTGTTCCTTCTGTATTGTTCCCTTGCTGCAAGAACATTAAATCTTTTATTAATAAATCTTCCTGAGTCTTGGAATAATTTTTGATCCTGACAAAGAAACACACTGCAAATTCTTACAACACATGTAAATAGCATAGACTACAATGGGATGAACTTAAAATAGTGAAAGACCCTGCTGGGATTTGCTTATTGTTCAGTGCAGTGTTAATTTTGTTGACGAAAAATGTTGACAAACAAGTTTCTAGCGATGAAAATGAGACGAAAACTAAATCAAAATTAAGTGATCATGACCACAACTATAATCAAAATATACTGGCATTTTTCTTGACTAATAAAAACAAGAAAGAATGTGGTTGAGGGATGTTTTTTGCAAAATATCCAATCAGAACTAATCTTGGTGTGATGCATGACGCACACATGCACATTTGAAAAGTAACTTAACTTTTCCACAGTAAACGCTGGATGCAATTACATCATCATCTATAGAACATCTGTCTGATTAAATTACTGTGACTAAACTGACTAAATGTAAGCAGCTGAGAGAAAAAAAGATGTTTTTGATGTCAAGACAAAACAACCATAAACCATATGGGATGTAAATGGCTGCTAAAAACCACAAATCTTAAGACTTTAGCATGCCAGGGAATCATCCTGAAATTCACAAAAAGGTAAACTCATTTTTTTTATTTACCCGAGTGTGTGCTTTTGCTTAACTGAAATGTTCTTTAGAGAATTTGATCCGTTAGATTGTACATTTACAGTTTTTACATTCTTAAATTCTCATGAACATGACATTCGTTTTTGTGAGGAGTTGTTTCCTCACGTTTCATTTTAGCTGCAGCTACAGTTTAGTTAATCCTGATGTAACTCGCTAGTTTCATGCATGCTGTTTGCTTCTGCTGCTAGCCATTTACTGTGTACCTGTACCACAAAACATACCTTTCGGTGATGATTTAATATTACATTAGATGACAGTTGAGAGATAGCCTCCTACATCATGTAATTAGACAAATATAAAGCTTAAAATGCTAATGCAAAGATTTGATCTAATTAATGCTTGGAGAGTTAAAAATCCTTATAAAAGAGCTTTTACTTGACTCAATATCTAAGCAATCAAGAATAGATTTGTGGTTAGTTTCCCATATTTTTGAAGGAATCTAAGGGTTGATATTTCACTTTGACTGATTATAAGCCTGTACAAAGTCATATTTTTCCTTTGCCAATGTCCTCTAATAAATAGATAACTCTTACTGGAAACTTCACAGCTTTGTTCTGAGACTTGGTATTGTAATTTTTAAATAGTTAATTCATTCCTTTTGGACAAAGGCTAAAGCAGAACAGGCTTGTGGTAAACATTGGGAGTTGCTTAAATTTGTATTGGGCCAGTTCTTCAGAATTTAATGTAATACAATTGCCAAGATCAAAAGAGCACAAGAAGAGGACAACATTTCCCCCTTTGCTTACTTGTGTTCTAAATGTCCTGATAATTTATCTATGAAAGAAAGTAACAGTCTTTTGAAACAAATTAGATAAACTATATACATTCAAAGCTCAAGGTGCTTTTGTAAGGTCCAGCAGATGCTGGCTTGAGGAAGAACAAAATTTGGCATATTTCTTCAGGTTAGAAAAATCTCTCAATAGAAACCACATTCATCTGTTAAAAATAGGTCATGTTGTTTCTGAAGATTGGCGTTGAAGTTGGCGTTTCTGTGTGGAGTTTTCATGTTCTCCCTGTGTTTGCGTGAGTTTTCTCCGGATGCTCTGGTTTCCCCCACAATCCAAAGACATTTGGTATAGGTGAATTGGGTTAGCTAAATTGTCTGTAGTGTATGTGTGTGTGGATGTTTCCCAGTAATGGGTTGCAGCTGGAAGGGCATCCGCTGCGTAAAACATTTACTGTATAAGTTGGCGGTTCATTCCAATGTGGCGATCCCAGATTAATAAAGGCACTAAGCTGAAAAGAAAATGAATGAATGTTCCAAGTTTTACAAGGATCTTTATAGCTGTCGATTTTGTCATGACAATGTTATATAATTTATGTATAAGTACTATAGACAATATTAAATCTAGTACTCCTGACAAAAGTTTCTGTGATTGTCCCATTACAGTTCTTGGGGTTCATGAATTTATTAAATATTTAAAAGTTCATAAACCGACTAGTAAAGATGGTCTTACTTGTAAATTGTATCAAAAAGTTTCATAAAATTTGGCACCTTTTTATTAGAATTATATATGAAAGCATTAGGATGTGCAATGTCTTCCATCTACCCTAACTTAAATATTAATTATTAATTAATTATTAAATATTACTCTCATCCCCAAACATAAAAAGGACTTATTACTAAGTGACAGTTGGCCAAAATGAACACTGGTTCAGTGACTAGTTGTCAGTAAAGTTGTAGGTGACCTGAAAGGTGAGATTTTTTATTTTTTTTATTTTAATACCCTGATTACAAGATTGTTTTTGCATATTATTAGCTGGAATAAACTGACAATTAACTGTGAAATGTTATTATATATAGCTAAATTATCTCAATATCCACAACTAAATCTAATTTCAAGGTTAAATAAACTAAATTCGCAATGTTTCATTAATTGTTAGAATGAGATAATAAATAAATTTCATAAAATATATGTTTTTTTTTATTATTCATGCCATTTTATTAGGCTAACGAGGGAAAGGACAACAAATACAACATGCAGTCACCTTTTTTTAGATCAAAATATGCATGTGTTGTAAGGATTTACATTATGCAAATTTTCAGATTAAAAATGCAGATTCATTCTCTTTCAGCTAGTGGTGTGTTTAAAACTGAAGGAGTAACAGCTTTTTCTTGCCAAAGCAATTTTTCTTTCTTCCAATTTGTGTTTAACGAAGAGAAGATTTTTTAAACACATTTCTAAACATAATAGTTTTAATAACTCATTTCTAATAACTGATTTATTTTATCTTTGCCATGATGACAGTAAATAATATTTGACTAGATATTTTTCAAGACACTTCTATGCACCTTAAAGTGACATTTAAAGGCTTAACTAGGTTTATTAGGCTAGCTAGGCAGGTTAGGGTTAGTAGGCAAGTTATTGTATAACGGTGGTTTGGTCTGTTGACTATTGAAAAAAATATATAGTTTCAAGGGGCTAATAATTTTGACATTAAAATTGTTTTTAAAAAAATTAAAAACTGCCTTTATTCTATTCAAAATAAAACAAATAAGACTTCCCCCAGAAAAAAAATATTATCAGACATGCTGTTAAAATTTCCTTGCTCTATTAAATATAATTTGGGAGGTATTTTATAAAGAAAACAAAATTCAATACTGACTTCAACTGTACTGTGTAAACAAAGCAGCATGTAATACTATTATCACAGAAAGTGTCTCTCACCACGGATTTGCTTGTGCAAATATATCAGTATGAGTTGAAATTTTGAAAACAATATTTCCTGCTATTATTTAAGCACATACTTAAACATCACCGATTGCTCATTCCTTCAGACGCTTAACAGAAATTACTGTAAATTGCCGTGATGGTTACCGGTTTACCATATAGCCATGTATCACGGATCACTCTTGATCACTGGCTTTTAAAATGCTCCAGTATCTGTGTATTTGTGTTTGCACTTGGTGAACAGCGATGAAGAGTGGTGAACCTTCTTGGCCAATCAGTCATTTCTATTGAGCACGTGAACACAACGGGCAATCAAATGTGTTTAAGAACGTGCTCAAATGGGTGTTTTTAAATTTTCAAAACCAACTGGTACCAAACTTGATACTTTTAACAACCATAGTATGTACTGCTAACTAAAATGCTATACATTTACTTTGAACTAATGCGTTTGATGACAGATTTATCTGTTGTGTTGATTTCATTAACTAGAAACAAAGTAGACTTATGGACAAGACAAGTCATTTATTATATTTTTCATTATTTTAAAGATTCTCAACAGCAGTTTCAGAAAGGACAAAAATCATAAAGACCATGTAAATAAACAGAATAACATTTTTTATTTGGATAAATATGTTTTACTTTGTGGTACAAATTTCTGCCCCATTACATAGTCAAATGAGTTAAATGTCTCAACATTATTTTTCAACACTTAAAAGACTTAGTTCAAAGTACTACAGTCAAATTGACAAATATTATAGCACCTGAGATATAAAATAGATTGTTTATAGATCTTAATCAGATCTATGTTGCACATTTACAATATATATCTGATTAAGTATGACAACTTACAACTTTTAAAGGGTTTCGTTTTGTGCACCTCTAAACATTTATTAAATATGTATTAACTTGTAATAAGTAATTTTGAAACCTTTTTTATTAAGTTTACAATTACACTTTATTTACTTATTTTTCAAAATCATCGTTTGGCACAGATTTCAGAACCCTGACGTCAATTTTTAAAACTCTAGACACAAAACTCTAAACAGTCACTGCTTTTATCACAGACTTTCCACTGTTCAAAACTTTGCATGTTGCGTTTCTTTCTTTTCTTTAAACATTTGCAAATTCATTGGTTCACATAATCCTTTTATCATACAAATACTACAGGAACAAAACTTTAGATCACCCACACACAATTTTCCGTTTCAATAAACAATCATTAACATTCATTAAATATTGTTTTGAAAAATATATGGTTTCATTATAACATGAAAAAATATTTCACGTTTCATTATGGTTTACACGTAAGTGTAGAAGGAATAGTACAGACAGTGGATTCACTGAACTAAAGTTTTATTCATTCAAACATAATGTAGGTTTACTGAAAAAAGGAGAATAGCAAACTTAACAACAGTGTTTCTTGCTTATTTGTAAATATAATGGTTGAAAAAATGGCAATTTTTGCAATATTTTGACATGACATGTTTCATATATGTGAAATCCATATGAACTAGAATGTCACCTGTAATTTGCATATATTTATATCACTATCATTTAGAGTGCTTGTGTCAGTTGATAGTTATATTGTGGTGATTAAATTAACCCACAGTTATTTCAAATGTAATGTTTGAGTTGCATATTGAAATAGGATCAATTTGATGTTTAATTGTAATTTACTGAAAAGGTCATTTTAGTGTATTTGACTTGAATTTATTTCATCCAAGAATTTTGAAAAAAAAAAAGTGCAATTTGCAAAGTGCAATGGTTGTGAATTTTGTGTCTAGAGTTTGGAAAATTGAATCCAGGGTTCTGAAATTTGTGGCAAAATGATTGTAAAATTGTAAAAAAAAAAATAAAAATAATAATAATAATAAAATTTTTTTAAAATAAACTGTAACACACCCATAAAACACAATAGGTGAGGGTCTTGACTGCTTTTTTGTTTGTTTGTTTGGTTTTTGTATGACAGGGAGAAATGGTTACGTTGACAGTACAGAAACAAGTAATTGGATTAAATGAATACATTATGTAAACCAATGTAGACTATGAGTGGCTATGTATGACTGAAATATAAGGAAGTTTAGACATTTTTTGAGGAAGCATTAAACATCGGAAGGCCTGAGAGTGGGTCTATCTTACAACGAGCCAAAGCCTGTTTGTAGTTGATCTTTTCCTTTGTGATTGGATCAGTCAGCTCTTTTGCATAATTGATCTCTTCCTGAAGCTCTCTCATCATTGTACTGTCAATCATCTTAGAGCTGACTGCATCCACAATGTTAACTCTTCCTGCTTTGTTGGGGTTGACCAACCCGCCTGTCAGAAATTGTGCCTCCATGTATCTCATGGCATTTTCTTTGGGCATCCAGCCTTTTTGTACAGCCTCTCCGACCGACAGACGTTCTTTGGTCATAGGATCCTCAACTCCGGTGAAGGCCTTTTGAGCATTTAGTAACCTCTGTAGCTGACTAGACTCAATCAGACCTCGATCAGCTGCTTTGTGTACCGAATATTTTATTCCATTGCTGATGTCCACAATACCTCCAGTGGCAGCTTGTGCTTCAAGAAGCTTTTGGGCAGTGTTGGTGTCAATCAACTTTCGACTCATGGCACTGCGCACATTTACACATGAATCTGTGTGTACATCATATACACCACATATAGGAAACTCTTCTTTAAGCTGTTGATTCAATTGGCTGTTGAAGTGTGGAGTGTATGACGATGATTTTTTTTCCCCAGCTACAAGAAGAGCAAACTCTGAAATAGACATTTTGCCATCCTTATACTGTTGTAGTTGGTATTTGGTCACCTTGCCTTCTTTTAGTGCAGTTTTGATGGAGTACTGTTTCCCACTCTTGCGATCTTGCAAAACCAATATCTCATCATCAGGTGCCATTGTAGTGATTTCCTCCCAGTCACACTCCATTTCTTGTAACTGCAAGTATTTGTTGCGATCGAGGAAGCCTTGCCTATAGGCATCATATGGTGACATATCTTTTCCAGTGTTGGGGTCCAAGATGCTTATCTTTGTGGAAACATTGACTTCTTTTGTGCGCATCTCAGAGGAGTCCTCCTTCTGTAAACTGTTCTTCAGCTCCCTAATTATGTTATCTCGTTTGTGAATTTTGTCTTTTTCATCAAGGATATCCCTTTCCAGCCTCTGACCATCTGATTCCATTTTAATGCTTCTTTGCCTGTTCATTTGGTTTCTTTCACTCATCAGCCTAGAATGCTGTTGGAAGGAGATGGTGATGTTTTGTCTTTCAGATTCCAATGATCTCAGTTCTCTCTGAAGGTTTTCTTTTTCTCTTTGCAGCTTGTCCCGATCATGAACTAGGTTGGTCTCCTCCAGCGACATTGCCGTTTTTTTGCTTGCTTGTTGCTGTAGTTTCTCTTGTAGACGATGGAGTTTATCCTCAAGGTCTCGTCTGACATTTTTCTCCTGAAGGAACTGGTCTCTAAGGTGGGATCGTTCTGCTTCAAGTGCTTGATCTTTCTCTACACGAACAACCTCTTTATAGATGGTCTTCTCAACTGACTTCTCTCGCTGCAAGATTTCAATATCAAGTGCCAATTTCCTGATATCTCTTTCTAGACGCATAATGTCGCTGCTTTCTTTATCCATATCTGTGCGAAGACCATTTGTCAGTTTATCAAGTTTTGGATCCCTCTCAACTTTTAGAACTTCCTCTATGACTATGTTCTCTTCAATAGGAGGTGGGGCAGTTTCTAGCTCATGAATTCTGGATTTAATTTGTCTCAGCTCAGTTTCCACCTGAATCTTTTTTTGCTTTTCATCACTGCTCCTGATTGCTATTTCCTTGTCTTCTATGAGTGCTCTCAGCTGCTGTACCTCTAGTTCTAGTTTTCTCCTATTCTTCACTTCTTCATCTAGACTCCTTCCTAACCTGTCATGATCAAGGATCTGCCTTGGATCCTTTTGTAGACGCACTACCTCTTGTACTACAAGCTTTTCCTCAGGTTTTTGTCTCTCCAGCTGAATATATTTGTTCTGAAGATCAAACACCATTTCCTCTATTGTTCTGCGCCTCTGAGTTTCTTCACGGACGTCTCTCCTGAGACGATCAACTTCTTTCTCTTGAAGTGGGTCGTCAACATACTTTGTTACATCCTTAGTGACAATCTTGGTCTCTACCTTTGACTTTTCAGCTTTCCACTCATCCCTATCTTTTCTTAGACGTATAAGATCATTTTGCAAATTGTTGTAGGCTTTTTGCAGAGAATATACTTGATCAGAAAGCCTCTGTATCTCTCTAACATTCTCAGGACTTCGTTCCTCTTTTACAACTTCCTGGACTACTTCCTTGTATTCAACCTTGGGTTTCTGTGCACGAAGAGCTTCATGTTCTGTTTTGACAAAGCTAATTTGTCTCTCAAAGTCTGAGCACTGCCTGCTGTTGTCTTGAAGCTCTCTTCTCAAGCGCTGCATTTCTGCTTCTGTTTCAGGGGCTACTCTGAAGTTCTCATTTATGATTTCTTTGACCTCCACTCTCGGCTTCATCTGTTGTATTTGGACATGACGTGATTGAAGGTTATTAAGCTCAAACATGAGACTTTTGTTCTCATTTCTCACTTCTTCTATTTTATTCAGAAGCTCTTTGGACTCCATTATAAGTACAGGGTCCTGCTCCACTCTTTTTACCTCTTTCGTGACCACTTTTGGCTCCAATGTTGGGATGAGTCTCTCAAGAGAATTTATATTACTCTTGGTTTGAGAGATTTCACTCTTCAGTGACTTGCACCTTTCTCCTTCATCTGAGATATCCAACTCAAATGTCCTAACTGCTTTTAACATTTCTGGATCTTTTTCAAGTCTAACCACTTCCTTTTGCACCACCTTCTCTTTTATGTTTTGCTTCTTTTGCTCTAACATTTTCAGCTCTGTTTGCAGCTGAGCCTTCTCTTGTTCTTTAACTCTAAGCTCCCTACTCAATTTGTTAATGCTTTCATGAATATTTGTTGATTCTACATCTAGTTGAGGGTCTCTCTCTACCTCAGTCACTTCTCTTGTGACTAGCTTGGGCTTGGTGTTCTTAAGTTCACTCTCTAGGCTAGTGATCTTTCTGTTCAGTACCTCAATCTCACTCTGTGTTTTGGTGCGCTTCAATGCTTCTTCATGAATCTTTTTTTGAAAGTCGTCCACACTGGCCTGAAGTTTTGGGTCACGGTAATACTGCAGTATCTCTTTCTCTTCAACTCGCTCTATTCCTCTTCTGCTCTTCAGAGATAAATATCTGCTTTTAATCGTGCCCAGTGTATTCTCTGCATTAGTACGTTTGGCAATTTCCTCCTTTAACTCTTTCTGGAGAACTTCAGTGTCCTCAAAGGCTTTTTGTTGCAGCTGCTGTTGTTGCTGTTGTTGTATGGTGTTGACTTGTTCCACATTCTGTACAAATAGAATAAAGACCAGTTGATATTAAGTCACTTGATTTTTACTTTTTATTTAAAAAAAAAAAAAGATTACATGGATGATATGAACACTCATGTTACTGGTATCACCTCAGTCACAATGCCCTTTGCAAAGTTTATTTGTTTGAGTAACTGGTCACTTTCAGCAGCGGTCTCAGCATACTGTTTAGTAAGATCCTTCTCCTGTAGCATAACAAAGGGAAGAATTATGTATTTGACCAATATTATAACGTTTTGTCAAATTTACATTTCAATATTTTACCTGTTTAGCAACAGAGCTTGCTAGGGTAGAGGTGTGAAGCCTTTTAGCATTTGTCACAGTTGTGTCATCAAGAATAGCTTTGTACTTATCACAATTCACCTCGTATTCCTGCCCCAAAATAAGTACAATAGAATATACATCATAATTTGTTTCAGCAAAAAAAAAAAAAAAATAATACTATCCAGTGTTATAAAACTGCTTTTTACAGATTTATGTTTTAAATGTTAGACTTACGTTAAGAACATTTTGGAGATCCTTGGAGAGATCAACCACTCTGTTCATGTCATCCCCTTTCCTCTGTATATCTTCTATTACTCTCTTTAATAATAAAAAAGGACTTTGTTATATATGTTGTTACTTTGTTAACATATGAAATATATTATGTGATAGTCTAAAAATCTAACCTTTTGAGAGTTCTGCTTGGCTTGGATTTGAGACAAATCATCTTTGGGGCTAACCTTGTTGTCCGGTAAATTATCTAAGAGCAAGCTCAGTGATTGGCTCACATTTTGAAAGTCCTGATGTTTAGTGTTAGCTTCCTGCAAAAGCCTTTCTCTAAAGAAATAAAATAATAAATAAAAAAATTATAATAATAGTGAGCTTATACTTTCATGGAAAACAGGGAAAGTGTATTCAAGTAATACCACATTAAACTTCAATTCTAAAAAAGTTGTGACATTTTGTAAAATGCAATTGAAGTCAAAAATTGAAAGAAAGAAAAAACAAATTGGGACCGATTTTAAAAAAAAAAATTAAAAGGTTATAAAACATCCAAATTATTTTTAAAAAGGGCACAATAAGCAGGGAATCTCTAAAAGACACTGTGCTATAAAATGTTTAATAATTATCTTTAAAACTTTTAACAGTCATTTCTGCAGCTGTTGCTATAATAAATGTTACTTGAATCTTTTCTATCGTGAGAAAGTTATTTATGTGAAGTCACCAGCTTCTTTTTTTTGCAAGCAAAGGGTATCGGTACCCAGTCCTATTTAACAGTATGCTAAACTAGTAATTCTGTAATAACGTTCATTCATTAATTTTCTTTTCAGCTTATTCTCTCTATTAATCTGGGGACACCACAGCGGAATGAACCGCCAACTTATCCAGCATATGTTTTATGCAGCGGATGCCCTTTCAGCTGCAACCCATCACTAGGAAACATCCATACACACACATATACTATGGACAATTTAGCTTACCCAATTGACCTAAACCACGTCTTTGGACTATGGGGGAAACCGGAGCACCCTGAGGAAACCCAGGCAAACACAGGGAGAACATGCAAACTCCACACAGAAACACCAACTGATCCAGCCGAGGCTCGAACCAGTGACCCTCTTGCTGTAAGACGATCATGCTACCCACTGCGCCACCTTGCAGCCTTTATAATAACGGTATTATTTAATTAGTATCCTATATTCCCAAATAACTAAACTGCTGTTTCGCAAATGCTTCTGGCAACCAATTCAAACTAGCAACCTTCTTGCTGTGTGGCAACCATCTTAAAAAAAGGAACCATGATGATACTTAAATAAGTAAAACATCAAAAAATTAACCATTTTACAAAATGCATTATATATATTTATATTATACATATAAATATTATACATATATATATAATCTTTTCTTTGTTTTGCAATTAAATAAAGGTTAAAGAGAATAAACCAAACACATTCTTTCAGTGTTGCCAACTTAGCGACTTTGTTGCTAGATTTAGCGACTTTTCAGACTCGCCTAGTGACAAATTTTCAGGAAAGCGACTAGTGACAAATCTAGCCACTTTTTTGTGTGTTACTGGAGATTTTTATAGACTGTCATTTGTCCATACTGTACCGTCCCTACTCTTCTCAACGAGTTGCGGGTGATGCCGCCGGCCCATCCCCCGCCTCAGAGCACTGACAGGCGCCCCAGTCCTCATACGGTAGCCTCTCCCACCTGCAACCTCACCCCTCTGCGTACCGATAGCAAATGATTGAGCACCGGCAGTGTGAAGGTATCTTCCTTGTACAGTCAAACCGATCAGCTTCTCTTTTATTTTAACAATTTATTTTGACTGTTTATTCTTTTCTTGTTCACAGTCACAGATAATTTAAGTGAGAGTTTCAGAACTTGTCTGAGATTAGATTTATACACATTTATACTGATATACTGTATTCGAACAGCAATAAATTTAGTTAAATTGACATGCTTACATAAAGTGTAATGCAAATATAAATACCCCTTTATTGACTATAGGCTGTAAAACAAACAGAAATGATGTCAGTCATATGCAAGTTAACGTATGACGCAATCTAGTGACTTTTAGCAACTTTTCGGGCAGAGCTTAACGCCTTTTCGTAGAAAATAGTAGGCGACATTGCATTCTTTATTTTAGTGCATTTTACAAAATGCTCAAAATATTAAATCAGGAGTAACAAAAACAATTAAACTTTTCATTTTGTTTTTGACTATATCAACAAACACTTACCTTTCACTCAGCTGGTTGATCACATTGGAGTATCGGCTTTGAAGATTCTTCACTTCTGCTTCCTGTCTGCGTATATCAGGGCAGTATTCTTGGTAACCCTGCTGAAGTGAACTGCATAGCTTCTTAAGTGCCTCTAGGTCCTCACTTAGCTTTTGCATCTCATTTTGAGAACCAGCAACATCTCTTTTTAAACCCTAAATGAATGACAAGGTATTTGTTATGATTCAAAATATTATAGCGTTGTTCATGTACAATGGAATAACTTTAAATCAGTTTTTAAAACCAGATTTATTGGTTTGATGGCAATATACTAGTTTTATCCTCATTTTTTACCTTTAAAAAATCATCCAACTTTATGGTGTCTTTTGCAAATGCTTTGTACTTGTCACAAAATAAACTTAACACTTCAAACATATTTAATGTATTTCAAAACAATTGATGGTCTATGTGGTTATGTAAAGGGACAGATTGGGGTCAACAATAAAAAAAAAGTTGAGTCACAGATTTAATTGCACGCAGATATTTTCCAATACAACTGTAATGAAAACCATTTAGGAAGGTTGTGACTAGTTGTAGGAAACATTACAGGTTAATTCATATTATTAAAGCAAACTTGATGTGTAAATCAACTATGGGTATGTAATGCAGGTTAATGATTGAAAAATGAAGCAGCAATGGGATTTCATTGTACTAATAGACCTTACCTGAATCTCCTGTGTACGTGTCTGAATGGCGTTAGGCTTGTCAGGAATGGCACCATCCTCACTTAGCTGTTTCTCAAAGCCTGAGACAGTGTTGTCCATCTGCCTAAGCTGTCTCTCCAAAACCAAAGAGGCATTTGCTCTAGTGTTAAAAAAAGACAGAGTTGCAACATCTAAAATGTGTTTTTAATTACCTTTTATAATCACTTTTGTAAGTTTACATACTTCTTTTTGTAGAGACTGTTCAGAGCAACTAGACTGTCCTGTTTGTTTTTAGCATCACTGAGGTTTTGGAGTAAAGTAGAAGAAGTTGGCCCATTTAAGTCTTTTGAAAGTAAAGGTTCCATTTCCTTTTGGGCTGCAACTCTCTGTTTTTCCAGCTGCTGGAGTGCTGCAGTTGTTTTCTGTTTAGAGAACAACAATCTTTAATGAGCAGAGTATAACAGTGTTCTTCATCCTCTAAAAGCCTTTGTTAGAAGAAAAAAAAAATAGAGCAGTGGTGTACAAACATCTACCTATTTTGCAATCGTCTTGCAGAGTCTAACTACAATTAAACAAACCAAACCAACAAATCAAGGTCTTTTGATGTTTTAGAGCTGGTTGAACCGTTTTTAGGGCATTTGCGGGCACAAATTAACTTACTGGACACTTTCTGAGGGCACTAGATAAGAAGGTAGCCTTTGTAAATGTAATATTTGTAATTTTATTCATTCATTTTCCTTTGGCTTAGTCTGTATTTCAGAGGTCGCCACAGCAGAATGAACTGCAAACTCATTCATTCATTAATTTTCTTGTCTAACCTGCGACCTTCTTGCTGTGAGGTGACAGCACTACCTACTGCGTCACTGCGTCGCCCATGAATTGCCAACTGTTCTGGCATATGTTTTATGCAGCGGATGCCCTTCCAGCTGCAACCCAATACTGGGAAACACCCATACACATTCATGAACTACAGCAAATTTAGTTTTTTCAATTCACGTATACAGCATGTTTTTGAACTCAGGTGGAAACCGGAGCACCAGGAGGAAACCCACGTGAATACGGGGAGAACAAGCAAACTCCACACCGAAATGCCAACTGGCCCAGCGGGATTCGAACCAGGGAACTTCTTGCTGTGAGCTACTATTTCTAACCACTGAGCCACCATGCCGACCCTGTGTGTAATTGGTCATATGAATTATTATATTTAATATAAGTAGAATTAGTAATAGTAAATTGGTATTCAATAGACTAGGAATGATGTGATCAATTTGTGCAATTGAAAAATCTTTACTCTTGTAAATGAATCAAATAATTGTGAAACACCACTAAATAATTACTTAATTACTGTTACTAATTACCTAAAAGGACATCTAAGTGACTGGAAATCATTCTGGAATATAAGTAATCATGTAGAAGATGTTTTATTTCTAAATGTCTATGTAATTTCTCACCTCTTGCTCCTGCAGACGTTTAGCAAGGTCTGTGGCAGGGTCAGTGCGGTTTAGTGGGCTTCTTATACAGTTCAGAGTGTCCATCTCAACTTGACCTAGATCTTTATCCATTTGGTTTAGACGGTTAGCCAGCACTGCAGCTTTGGGATTTTCCTCAGCTCTAGGTGCAGGAACTATAAAAAAAAGGTTCAAGGGTTAGCTCATCAAAAAAAAAAAAAAGGTTATTAACTAAACATCCTTATGTCATTCCAAATTTTCTGTTTATTTTTAAATATTATGAAGCTAAGAGAAATGTTTTGTGCATACATAAAAAATGAAACTGATTCTTTTTCTCAGGGTCAGTTTAGGGCCTACGTTTATGAACAGTTGATCACAGTTGTTATGTATTGACACACTGGGCTCTATCATTCACTCAGTGCTATTATCAAACCGACGCAGGTGTAATTTTCACATTTTGCGCCACATTGTTTAAATAGCAAATGTATTTGCGCCACTGTGTACACTCATGGGCATGCTGGTCTTTTTAGGAGGTGTGTTCTTGGCGTGTTGCTATTTTTAGGCAACTAGAAATAGGCCACGGCATTAACTAACAAAGCTGATCTAGTAATAGGCTCTGAGTTTTTATTATTTAAAAAGCGTATTAGTTATTTGTCTATGTGGGTCCAAAACACGCATAGACATTGCTTAATATACACAAAGGGTTGTACAGCAATACACCCATATGTTTACATATGAAAGGATAAAATTTTTAAAAATATATATTATTTTCTACATAAATATAAAACGAGGGCTTTGGAATCTGGCTCTGTTATGGTGAGTTTTTTCCTGACAATTTACATTTGTTTAATGTTATTATTAGTTGTAGTATTTATTGCATATGTATATGCACTTAGCAAATGAAATTATGAAACGTAATAGGCTATGTCATGGATGTTTTCAGTAGAATGCATCCATCACCGTCTCCTTAATCCACAGTCGAAAATAAGAGGCCAAAAGTTTTAACTGTTTTCTAGCTAGTGAAGCATTTAGATTTTCCACTTACAAAGTTCTCCATAGCCATAGTTCTTAGTTCAATCTCAAGGAGAATGAAAGATAAGACTCTGATTGGTTTATTGCAAGTTATGCTCAAAACACACCCATAACTAATTAAGAGAATAAGGACAACCCCTTAAAACCACGCACCGATGCATTTTTTCATTCTTAAAAGTGCAGTATGTATGTTTGACATCCAGTGTTTGAACTAGGTATTGCATTCATGGATCAAAACAAATGCAAGCACAGTTTGCCAGATTGAGAACGAGGAGCGAGTCTGACGATTGAGCCTGTAGGCTGATTTAAATCATGGTCTAAATAAACGCAACGGCACGTAATAGAAGAAATATTTTCCATATTAAAAGGAGGTTTTGTTCTAACCAACACCTCAAATTGATATATTATAATCGGCTTCTATTCCTGCAGCTGAACAACAGAAAACTGACAATGATTACCTCAGGTACACCTCATGTGCTTTATTCAGTGTTAAATGCTAACAATGTGAGTTTGAATGGCATTTTACATGATATTTATTGCCAAACTACTGAAAGCAGCAGCAGACAGTTAACCTTAGACCTTGAAAATAAAATAAACCTTTTGAAATAGAACTTTAGCGCTGTGTCTTTAGAACTAAAACCAAGACATGTACATTTAGTAATGTTAAAGAGGTTGATTATTTATTAATTAGATCATAACCCTTACCATTTGAGTAAGTGAGTGCTTATTCTTTGCTTCTGAATGGCTATATTTAAATTTCGGTCATGTTTCGTCTGATGCAAACAGCTGTTGTTAGATGTTGTTAGGACACAGGGTTACAAATGTAACCTGCTCGCCTAATATTTACGTTTGTAATATTTATATTATTTAATGATTAATAACCACCTTATGTGGAACACTAAATCTGCATCTTATTTTGCAATCTGCTACTGTCCTCTGAAGGCCGCATTTTGGTCAAAAGCGTATGCTTTAAGAGCCTTTCTGAATGAATTCAGCTTATTATTATTTATGCTTTAGAAGAGTCAAAAACTTGCATACAAGACCTTTAAAATAGCAAAAGTGTGAAACATCCTTAGTGCTTTTGCATCCTCCATTTTAGACTTTATGCTTAGATAGTTAAAATAGAGCCCATAATCTCAGTGTTCACATTGCTGAATTAAAAATCTTTAAATTACCTGGAGCCTGTGATAAAGGGGCTTTGGATTGTTGATTGTTCTGCAAAGTTCTCAGAGCAGCCCGTCTTTTCTTTAAATCTTCTAACTCCTTCCCAAGCCTGCTCATACAAACATAAATTCTTAGTTATTATTGGTATGTTAAGTCATTACTCGTTTGTTTTTTAACATTAGCATATCATACAGATTAAATTTTACAATGTTTTGGAGTGTAAAAACCATTTTTTTATTCTTACAGGTCAACTCGGTTGATAGCCTCAGGATCAGGTGGAGGAATCATAAAGCAAACTCCAGGAAATTTTTGGCTTGTCCCATCACTGGACTGAACTTCCCAGTTATCATTGTCTGTGTTAGACTTAAGATTGAACAGCTCTCCTCTGTTTAATGTGGCCTGAAAATTATTAATTTGCAAAATAATAGTTTAATGAATAGAAATAAACAGATTATTAGAAAATTTATTTTAAAAACCTTTTTTTTCTTTAGAGATTCTAACCTTGGGAGTTTTCCAGTCACATAGAGACTCAACCGTAGTAGTTTTGCTTGGAGGAGTGCGGCGAAGTTTTAGTGGTACAATTGTAGTGCTTCGCTTTCTCATGTCAGCCAATAGCTGCTCATTGCGCTGTAAAGGCCTTTCTTCACTCTGCAGAACACAAAATATTGATGGATAAAGAGCTGTATTCATTTGTGTGTGTGTGTGTGTGTGTGTGTGTATATATATATATATATATATATATATATATATATATATATAGGATGTCTACAGAGTTTAACAAGTGAAAGGCATTTTAAAACATTTTTAATAGCAACTTATATTAACTTCAAGACCACCAAACCTGCAATAAGAATACTTGTGTATGCATACAATGCTTTGGAAATATTAACAAATTTTGATTTTGATACCTGCAACACACTCCAAAACAATTGGCACAAGTCAGAGGCAAATTAAAAGGCAAAAGGTCATACAAATGAAACAGTTTTAAAGCAGTCCACAATAGGCAGGTGAATTAATGATACATATTAGGTTCATGCTTGGGTATAAAATAAGCATCTCGGTCTTGGCAAGCAAAGCAAGATCATGGCTCTTTATTTTGTGCCAAAAGTCATGTAAGAATTGTCAAAAAAAGAAAACCACATTTATTGATGCAAAATGACAACCAATTTATGTCTTTCACAAACTGCCATAAACCATACCATATAAAAGCATTGGAGAAGTCCAAAGAAATCTCATTCCGTGCAGAGCAAGGCAGAAACCCTCAGCTGAATGTGCTCCAGCTTTGAGCGTCAAATTGCACTGCATGACAGTCATGTTGTGCTGTTACATAAAGCCACATGATCTCAGGAGAACTTCAGAAACAACACTGCAACTGAACAGTCACTGCAACAAGAAGTGCCTTTTGACTTGTTGATTGTGTAAGCTGGACATTAGTTATGTGCAGTACATTGTAAATAATTAATTCATTCATTCATTCATTCATTTTCCTTCGGCTAAGTCCCTTTATTCATCAGGGGTTGCCACAGCGCAATGAATCGCCAACTTATCCAGCAAATGTTTTACACAGTGAATGCCCTTCCAGCTGCAACCCAGCACTGGGAAACACCCATACACTCTCACATTCATACCCATTTACTATAGCCAATTTAATTTATTTAAATCACCTGTACTGCATATCTTTGGACTGTGGGGCAAACCAGAGCAGCCGGATGAAACCCACGCCAACACGGGGAGAATATGCAATCTCCACACAGAAACGCCAACTGACCCAGCTTAAGATGTTGTATGTATTCAAATTACTTGAATATTATCTAACGCCATAGCAATGACAGAAAAGTTGAAAATGAATTCAACACAGATGGTATTTCTTTTACAAAGTAGAAAGAAATTATTAGCACAAGAAAGATTTTTATTTATTTATTTATTTTTTTTACAAACGCAAATTTTATACCGGATTTGAAATGGTTTTCTTTTTTAAGGTGTGAGAGTTTAATGTTAGCAGAAAAGGAACAAGCATCTGGTAAAGCAATGTTCAATTGTTGTGTTAAAGCGTTTAATAATGCCTTCAAAGTAAAGAAGACAAACCTTGGAGTAATGTCTTAAATTTAAAGGAAAGATCAAGACCTGAATGGGGAAGACTTTATAAGTCGCCTTTAAGTAAAAAAGCAGAATATTTGCATGGAATTAGTTGTTAATGTTTTGTCCTTTTTGTCTGCAAGGAAAATCAGTGTTCCATGTCTTCATTTATTGTAGTACAGCCAATCACGTTTCTGGAGGTCCACTAGCTCTGCACATTTTCCATTTCTCCTTTACCAAACACACCTGATTCAGCTCATCAGCAGACACTGCAATGGGTGTGACAGACAAAGGAGACATCCAAAAGCAAAAATGTGGTTGAGAAACACTGTTGTAATAGATTAAGGCCCTTTTCTACAAGATCTGTATAGATGGTTTGAGGAAATGTTGAAGGAGATTTTTACTTAAGGTTTTAAGCATTCTCGAAAATGTTCATATGAATGAATTTTATTAGGTAAAGCAAGATAGCATTTTATATAAGTAGGAAAAAAAATAGAGACTTCTGATACTGATGTAAAATGCTCTTTGATCAGTTATAATAATCTGTTCAGTGATTCATTAGAGTTAGCAGGGAGATCGCTGACACTTACAAGATGACTAAATATTTTTATATAGAGCTATTAAATGCAGCAGGACTTTGGGTGATCAAACATTGCTTTTTGTCAATTCTATAACAAAAGAACAGAGCACACCAGTTATGGTTCCACGGAGAGTAGATTGCTTCTGCTAGGGAATAGCAAGAAAGGAGACGGTGCTCACTACAGAGCCATTTGAGCAGAGTTGAGTTCCAGCGAGGGGGAGCATGAAAGCTGGAGCTCAGCTCTGCCCAAATGGCTCTGCAGTGAGCACCACTTGCAAGAAAGTAGGAGCACGCAAGCTCTTTTTAAACACTGTTGGCACAGAGTAGACACATTAACTACTGAGGGGAAATGCTTGATTGGTCTTTTCAGTGATTGTATTTAAAGAGTTCAGATGCAAAATCCTCCGAATGGCGTCTCACCCTCTTATGTTTATGTTTAGTTATTCCACTTTAAAGACAATGATCAGAACTGAGCCTACAGTACATACATGAGTAAAATGCTAGTTTTAGAAGAAATTATCAAATGTCTTTTAGAGGTTTTTGCCTCTAAACTCTTCATTTGATTCTTTTGGGTCCATCAGACCAAAGTATTATTGTTGCGGTATCATGACCCAAATATTTCAGATCAATAGAGTATCATTTTAAGGCTTTTTAAGACCTTGTAAAAAGACCTGTACCTACTCTGATAAAAGAGAACTGAAAATTTGTATGTTCTGTGTTTTGGACATCTTTAAAATCTTTTTTTGTATTTAACCAGTATACAGAAGATGATACAAACCAAAAAAATATATTCAACTGAGGGTTGTGTTGTTAAGCAATGCTATGATATATTTAATCAATGCCAGAAGTGTGATGCTCACAGATATTGAACAATAAATTGGAAACAACCTAAAAAAAAACCATACAGGAAGTGCGTCCTACTCTCTGTTTTCTTTTACCTTAAGTGTGCATCATTAAAATGGAATAAAACTCATATTACTTGTCCTATAAGAGGAACTTGAAACATTAGAAAAGGATATGCAATGATCCTGAAGAGCCTAAGGATGTTTTGGTCAATCTTCTACTACACTTGCAGTAAATGTAGGACCCCAGGATCTAAAAGCGGGTCTTCAGTGTTTTCAAAACACTTTGTTACCATAGCAACCCACTGTGTTTACTAGTTTCTTGTTTAGCTTATAACCCGTCTCAGCTCACAAATTCACCCACAACCACAAACCTCTCATAGGTGTGCAATTTAGAATTTACATACAGTTAAAATTATGTCAGAATTATTAGCCCCCTGAATTATTAACCCTGTTTATATTTTTTTCTTGTTTTAATAACTCATTTCTAATAACTGATTTAATTTATCTTTGCCATGATGACAGTAAATAATATTTTACTAGATATTTTTCAAGACATTTCTATACAGCTTAAAGTGACATTTATAGGCTTAATTAGGTTAACTAGGCAGGTTAGGTTAATGAGGCGAGTTATTGTATAAAGATGGTTTGTTCTGTAGGCTATTGAAAAAAAATCAGCTTAAAGGGGCTAATAATTTTGTCCTTAAAAAGGTGTTTAAAAAATAATAACTGCTTTTATTCTGACCGACATAAAACTAAAAATACTTTCTCTATAAGAAACAATATTATCAGACAAACTGTGAGAGTTTCCTTGCCCTGTTTAACATAATTTAAAAAATATTTTAAAAAGAAAGAAAAAAAGGGGGTTAATAATTCTGACTTTAACTGTATGTAGCAAAATCTTTAAAAAGTGACTTTACCTGAAGCTGCATCTGAATTTCAGTGCTGGTTTTGCCATTGACAGATTTGGCATCAACAGTGGAGCCAAGCTTAGACAAAGACTCAGACAAGGTGTCTGCATCCAGTTGGTACTGTAGAGAAGAATGTAAATAGGCTTTACTAATAAACAATTTTTCTACTAGAAATTTGCTTGGCAAAAAGGACCTACCTTTTTGTACTCCTCTATATTGTCCAGATGGGTTTCCTGACAGATGCAAAGATTCAGAAACTTCTGCCATTCATTTCTTACAGTGTCTCTCTGGGCCTGGGCACACCCAAAGCACATTAAATCTTAGCTTTGCTTATGTTTTGTCATACTGTATTTATTATTGAAAACGTCCAATTTTCTACACCACTTATTGTCAAGAACGGTAAATAATTATCAGTATGTCCTTGTATTATTAGAATATTTCTAAAGTTAATTCATAACTCAATTATTACAATAATCAAGCTGAGATCTTATTAGTATTTTCCTACCTGCACAGTGCTGGCAGCAGGATGTTTCAACTCAATCAATCTGTCACCATCATCCTGCAATTTGTTGACCTCACTTTCATGTGCCAGCAGACTGTTATTCTTGAAGTTCTGCAGCAGATAAAATCTCACAGGTCATGTTTTATAATGCTGTGCCATATGCAGCAAAACAAAAGGAGAGTAAACCACCATATATTCTCATTGCTGTAAATCATGTTTTTTTTTTACTTGCTATATAACAATGCAACAGTTGATGTATGTACAAATCAAACAGAGAATATGGTGTGTACAAACCATACAGAGAGTACTTTTTCTTTAATGAGGGAATTTACAGCTAGACACTGAAATGGCATTTACAGTTGCAGATATTGTTTAAAGGTGCCATGTAGAGCACTGATTCAATAAGTTAAACTGTTCTCTGAATTCTACACAGTAAACAGAAATGGTATCAAATTTTAAAGATCTTTTTCTACACATACCCTTTAGTGTCTGTCTGTCTGTATAGGAAACAGTGTTATAGTGTGGCTGTGCAGAGCTACATAAATACATATTCATTTTAATACAAGCATAGATAAAATTAAAAATAAGGGAGGAAATTAACATTCTTGAAATCTCAATAGCAGGGGTCACCAATCTCGGTCCTGGAGGGCCAGTGTCCTTGCAGGGTTTAGCTCCAACTTGGCTCAACACACCTGCCTGGATGTTTCAAAAATACCTAGTAAGACCTTGATTAGCTTGTTCAGGTGTGTTTGATTAGGATTGGAGCTAAAATCTGCAGGACACCGGCCTTCCCGGAACAAGTTTAGTGACCCCTGTTCAATAGTAAACACTGTGGCCAATCAAACAGCCTGTGGCATGCATATTATTTTTTTCTGTGTGCAACATAACAGTGTTTTTCTTCCAATTGGCCTGTTTTTCTCAAGGATCTTATATATGTACATGAGAATGAAACAATGGTGTTTGTTGGCATGCTCATTATTCAGCTATGACTAGGTGTATCTACTATCTAGATCAGGGGTGGGCAAACTTGGTCCTGGAGGGCCGGTGTCCAGCAGAGTTTAGCTCCAACTCTAATCACACACACTTGCTTTTAGATGTCTAGTGATCTTGCAGACACTGATTAGCATGTTCAGGTGTGTTTGATTAGTGTTGCAGCTAAACTGGCCCTCCAGACACCGGCCCTCCAGGACCAAGTTTGCCCACCCCTGATCTAGATTAATGTGAAAAGATATTTATATAGCATATAGCATATTTATAGATATTTAATAGCATATGTATGTATTTGTTTATTTTACAGAAATATTTTTGCAATTAACTTCTAATATGTAATTTATTCAGTATTTTTTTGTTAAATTACACACTGTTATTCATGTTGATTTAATTGAATGGTTTGCTTAGGGTCCCAGGCTACTTGAAAAGGGAGCTGTCTCTGTTGCTCTCTGACATAATGCTTGACCCCTGGTGAAAAAAAAACAGCTTAAACCAGCTGGTCAACCAGGCTGGTTTTAGAGGGGTTTTTGCCACTTCCAGGTTGGTCTTAGCTGGTCAGGCTGGAAAATTACCAGCTAAAATTATTTACTTTTCATGTTATGTAATCATTTCAAAAGTTAGCTTACCTCATATTGTCTGCGAACGTCAGCATGGTCGACCATCTGATCACTCCAGTCCTGTTTAAGAATCTTGTTCTGCTCTTCCTTCATGTATGCCACCTCCTTGTCACAGTCTTGCATGTAGTCATACAGACTGTTGAGATAATGACGTCGCCATTTTGAGTTATCCTGTAAAACAGTTAAAATGATCTTTTTTTTCCCCCCATTCTCTCTCTGGCACCAGCAGTATTATTTTAAATCTGTCAGTACGTGAATAAATTCCTACCAGTAGGTTGGCATATTGTTTTTTAATGGCAGCATATTCCTCCTGAAGCAACAAGAAATATTTCAATTTTGTGATTGATTAACTGTTCAGTAGTCTGTGCTGTAAACCCATAAGACACTATCAACTTTAAAGCAGAAATAAAGATATTTAAAATGACACCCGAAAGATTTTACAAAAAAGGGTTTCGTGTGAATAAGACTTAAATAAATCTGTTCATCAAATTAAGAGAATGTGTCCTTCTTGAACTTGATTCATCTGAATTATCAATAAAATGTGATTTCTGAATAACTTGTGAATTTTCCAGGGAGAGACACAGGCAGGTTTCATTAAAATATCTTAAAAAGGTGTTTTTGTTGTTGTTTCTCCTTCCAAAGCAATATATAATAATGAAAAGAACAAATGTTTAAATTACCTGAGAACTGGTTGATCCAGGGTTTAGCTGATTGTTATAAGACTCAATCTCTTTATGAAGGATGTTATGAGCTGCGATCTGCTTTTTCAGGTCAGCCAGTGTTGGGCCATACTCCTCTTTGCTTGCATCTTTCTGTAATATTAAAAATTAGTCAGAGAAACCAAATAATCAATATATTTTGACTATAGGGGATTATACAGTGTCTCTACATTTACATGGTCATCAGCAATCAAATTATTTACCTTAATCTAAATAAGGCACTAATATGAATGATGTGGGTGGCTTTTATAATGTTCCATTTATGTTTTCCTTATAGTACATACTGTAGATCAATTACTGTCTTTACATCACCATGCTATCCATGTAATTTAGGACGTTTCATTTTTTATTTTGCAGTTCGGCAGTTTCACTTTCATTAAGCAACATTTCATTCATGCCCCGAGAAAAACTTTGAGGTATTGAATGTGAGTATGAAGTAAGAACTGGTGGGAGAGTGTCGTTTTACTGGAATATGATACCGCACATGCCAAATTGAAAAAAAAGTTCCTGCATTTTCCAGACAGAATAAAAGTGTGAAGATCATTGATTTAAAAAAAAATAGATGTTAAAGATGGCGATTTTGTGATGGCATGCAGTTTATTGGAAGCACTTGAACTGGGTTTCTGAAACAATTAAAATCCTTCTTTATATACTCTAGAGAATGAGAATCTTTTTTTTGAAGCACAATGCATTCTTCAAATAATAAAGAAAATCATATCTGGTACTGTTTCCTTGCAACAGCTCATTGATACCCTGTCAGTTTTGGATAAACATGTTCATTTATTTGATCCGCTCTGGATTCGCCCCCTCTGCATCTATCCTTAGCTTCTCAAGTTACACTTCACCGCTGGACACAGAATATTATGGTATATATATTATCAGCTTCCCAGACACACAGAGCATTCAAAAAGATATCTAGATGTTTGACCATTTTATTCTGAGTGTTTGTGAGATGTTTTTTAAATCAAAAGATATTACTATAAATCCGTAGTTTTTTTCTGTTATGATTTGCATTGGTTTAAAATGTGCATTCCTGCGTTTGTCCACAAACATGGCTGACCGCAACTCTCCGTTGCATAGATTTCTGTGCTCTATAGGAATACTCTATAGCTCCTTTCACACAGTGATACCGGAAAAATAACGGAACGACTTTACTGGTTAATTCGAAAAAGCGATGTTCATGATTTCACTTTTTTTAAAGCCTTAGCATTCATGCAGCTTATCCCAGAGACATCCAAAAGCAGAAGCACTAACCGCAGCTAAATGTTTACATATTTGACTATATTAAAAATTCATAGAAACCTAGACTAAACATTATCTGACTAACATCTAGCAGCTAAATGTGTCTGGAAAAGAATCCAAAGGCTTTTATTTTCATAAACAGCATGTATGTGAATGTGTCTGAATGTTCTGATTGGCTGGAGTAGCTCTAGAACACGCTCTTTCCGGCAATCTTACTTTTGTGATCACACCGCGTAGGATTCCGGAAAATTACAGGTAATGTTACAACTTCTCTTTCAGGTAAATTGCCGGAGCAAATTTACCAGTATTTTCAAAAAGGGCCTGTTCAGACATACAAACGTTTCCAGAAATTGACAATAATTTTCTGGACAGTTCTGTATGTGTGAAATAAGGGGCTCATATCTTAATTCGATTTGTGTTTAATGGACTCTTTTTACAAGATGGATTTAAGATGCTGTTGACCGTTAAATGCATCATAACCTTAAAAGTTTTTAATATATATATATATATATATATATATATATATATATATATATATATATATATTTTTTTTTTTTTTTTTTACGTATGTATATTTATATATATTTACATATCTATTATTTTATCTCTGCATCAAATTACAAAAAAATAAAATAAAATTACCACTTTTAGGAGGTGTCTGTAATACAGGATATATGGGGGCAGGACAGTAAATTTTACCTTGTTCTCTCTTCTGGCTGCCATTATCAGTCTTTTTAAGAAAATAGGGTTGTAAAAAAAGATTTTGTAATACTTTCCCACTCACTGCGCTCCAATTTACCTATGTAATGTATTTGACTATGACGACTTCCGCTACTGAGAAACCCGGAAATGTGAAAAGGGTGCTGTGGTGCTTTTTAATTCTCGTTTGTGCATCCTTGTTTCCTAATCATTTATTGGTGTCCATGTACAATGGGGGAATAGTTCATCAAATTTGTTAAATGGTGAGAGGTTTTCTCGCACAGCAAGCAGACTCGCAACCTTGCACAGATGATGTGGGATCCTTTATTATTTCTAACCAATTCATCTCTGATTGGTACAGAGTTTTTTTCAGTGTAGTTTCTCCCATTTTGAGCTAATCTTTTACGGTTTAAGCTAATGATGAACAAAATGAAGCACATAGCATAGCATGTTTACTCTACTGGAAATGCAATGTGCAAACTCAATTGCATACATTTTATTAACGATTCAAATTTTATTTGGGTTTGGAATGGATGTAAAAAAATAATGAAGTGATATCACCGAGGGGACGAAATTTAGATTTACAATGTCTTACCATAATGTGTTAAGTTTAAGGTACTTTTGATAATGTATACAAAAGTAAATCAATATATTGAATGTGTATTCACACCTGTTTTTGGTTTAGTACCAGAGCCCAGTTAATTCTTGGTTGAAGTTCCACCTCGTTCAATGGCTCATACAGCTCTCGGTAAAGGGAACAGTCTTTCAGCCAACGCTCATGAAGGCGACTTACACTAATTAGTGAAAATCAAAACAAGTACAATTAGTTTTCAATGTAATCAAAATAAATAAGAGACAAGAGATAGTGACAGAGCAACAGACTGAGTCATGAACATCATTGTGTAAAGGGTGTCTTTAGTGTCACTCACTCATTCTCTATTTCTCCTGCCTGAGGGTGTTGCAGTTTCTTGGCTTTGTCCATATCCAAAAACAGATCTTTCAGGAGCCCTTCTGCCCGGCCAAGGAGATCTGCTGTTTCTTTCTGATGCTGTAATGTCTTATTATTTTTCTCATTTTCAGCATCCTGAGCGAAGAGAAGGAGATGTAGGTATTTTTGTGTTTTACATTTAAAACTAACAGCACCACATTATAACTTTACTATAAGGTTGCATTTGTTAATGTTTTTATGTATTTATTAACAGGAGCTGAGAATGAATAATACTTTTACATCATCTACTAATAATCATTTTTCAGCATGTACCAATGCATTAATAAAATCTAAAAGTGTGCTTATTAACATCATTAAATTTACTGGGATTTAACAATTAACAATAGAGACAAATACTGTAAAAACTATTAATTGTTTGTAAAATATCATGTTAGTAAATAGTAACTTATGCAAACCAATTGTAGTTAAAACAATTTATTATTGTTATTATTACTATTCTTAGTAGTACTAGTAATATATCATGCTTATAAAAAATGAAGTGCTTCTTACAAGGAGCAGCAGCTCTTCTGCGCGCAGTACATCTTTCTCAACAGTGTCTGCATTTTTCTGCATACGTGCAATCAGCAAGGCCAGATTGCTCACCTGTGTTCTGTCAAATTTAAAAGTTAAACAATTTTATGATGTTTGGATGATCAGTGCATAAAAGCAAAAAATTGTTGCACAGACTTGAAGTATAAAACCCCACAGTTACAAGTAAAAAAATCCTGGACATTCCTGTTGGTTTGTCTCAATTTTTTTCAACAGAAAATTCAGGCATGTGACACAAATACATGTGTTGAGTATGAAATATTACTGACAATTGTGTATGAAGACAAAATACCTTTGAAAGTACAAAGAGCAGAGCTTGTAACAAAGAGTAGACAAATCTGATTTTTTTTTATTAACTAATATCAGGCAGATAGGGTATTTTCTATCAGGATTACATTGAGAAATAATGTCAGGTTAATCCTGAAAGTCATCAGTCTGCTAAAACATAGCTTTAGTTCATGAGCTCAGGCCACTTCACAAGATCAAAGTTGACATGTTGGATGGTTTTGAGTCACACCTAATTAAATCCTTAAAAGTTTCACAAAAGATGCTCTGATGACATAAAAAAGCTGAAAGATTGTAACGTCTTGACATTTACAGTATACATGTTTAGAACTCATTCTATATTCCTCAATAATATTGCATTTGCATTGCATTAGTCCTATATGTCATAACAATGGACCAACACCCAGTGGTAGAACAAGCACGTCAGCCCTTAACAGGAACTAAACTTTGACAGCAAGGACACTCCTTTTTATGTTTTTAAATATGCACATTTATTTATGTTGAATGACTCTGATTACTGAGTATTCACACAACACCATGAGAAACATCTATATCAATTGTACATTAATCATATTTAACTAGTGGTTTGTTCAGACAAAAGCTTTTAGATCTACATATTTTAAAATATTTAAGAACATGGTTAGAGATGATCAACAGACAGCTAATTCCAATTCCAATTGTCTTCTATTAATGTAATGTAACACATTTGACAGCTTGTCTCTTTCAGAACAGTTCTTTGCCAACCTGATCTTTTTGTTTTAAAGATTACCTATTGTGGGATATTTTCTATAAACCATAATCCCTTCAACTTGTTGACAAAGCAAAGTTTAAAAACAAAACAGTCAGCATATGGGCCCACTGAACCAGGTTTCCTTTGTAGAATGTGTTTTATTTTCATTTGTATATATGAGCAAGTCTGAAAAGAAAGCAATTCAGCTATTTTGTTTAAGTTGATTCCAGCATATATCATTTTGTTGGTATAAGATTTCACATCGAAGATCTGGTTAAATCAACTTTATACATTCATTCTGGTTACCAGAGTACACCCAAACCGACCTCAGACCTTCATAAACACAACAGAACTGAACCAAGAGTATAAAATAACCAACATCACTCACTTGTTTATCTTGGAATCATCTTTCACTGTGCTGTCTTTATTCCTCTTGAACATCCTAAAAGTTTAAGTAAGGTTAAATTCACCTTCTGATCCAAGTGTGTTTGTAAATCTCACTCCTGCTTCTCCTTAATTTCTACAAACTTTTCCGTTTTCAAGCTCTGCCTCTCTAGAACTGTCACATAGCAGTAAAGTAAAGGTGTTCTTGTGACTCAACTCCGCCCTGATTAACAGGTGTTGGGCGACACCCAGACCACCTCCTGTAGCAGGACCGGGCAGACCAGTTTCACCTCCCTTTTTTCTCTCTCAATCACAGATACAAATGTACACATCTCCCATTCAGATTTTTTTTTAATCCTTCAGTTGATCTCCGATTCATGATGATTTGGTATTTGGTTTAATAAATATGATTTAGTTATGTTAGACTTGTTGCACCGTTTAAGAATGACTTTTATTATCAGCAAAAGTGTCAGCTAAATGGCTAAATTTACAGCAACCAATAGCTTCTTCAAATAGCTTTTTAAAAGTGTAAGATCTGTAGATGTAAGATGGTGTGGAATGTCGTTGGGTTACTTTCTCTCTGTAGGGCTGTGGTAGTTAGCCCACATTTCTAGCAAGTATTGTCACATGGTAGGGTGTGACAGATTCAGGCCCATTGTCGGTGGGAACCCTTTACCAGTTAACTTATTTAACTTTCTAACTTCAAAATTTTTTTCAGGGTTTTAACGTACAAAATGATTCCTATATCAAAACACACACACACACTGTTATAGCTTTCCTTGTATCAAACTCATGACTCAAGTTTCCTTGTATTTATTGTTCCAGTTAAGATCGGTCATTAGATTTGTGTATTATTTATTATGTATGTATTATTTGTGTATTATATATTAAATATAGATAGAAATATATCTGTGTATAATCACCATAACAAACTAATTCTACACCTTAAAATAATGTATCCAAGGGGTAGCGTGTATCCTGAAAAAAGCAAGGAGAATGATTCTTGAGGCACTTCGTACTTCACTTCCCATTCATTTAACACTTGGCCAGTCTACAAAATCTTAAGTCAGGTAGGTATGATTTAATCCATAGTCACCCAGGTAAATGATTCATTCTAGCAGGATACCGTGAGGGTGACGTGAGGGTAGCACGTGAGGGTAGCACATTCGCCTCACAGCAAGAAGGTCACTGGTTCGAGCCTCGACTGGGTCAGTTGACATTTCTGTGTGGAGTCTGCATGTTCTCTCCGTGTTCCCGAGGGTTTCCTCTGGGTGTTCCGGTTTCCCCCACAGTCCAAAGACATGTGGTACAGGTGAATTGGGTATGCTAAAACTGACCACAATGTATGAGTGTGTGGATGCTTCCCTGTGATGGGTTGCGGCTGGAAAAGCATCCGCTGCATAAAAACTTTTGCTGGAAAAGTTGGCGGTTCATTCTGCTGTGGTGACCCCTGACTAATAAAGGGACTTAGCCGAAAAGAAAATTAATAAAAAAGGACACTGTGATCTAGTGTCAAATGCAGCACTAAAATCAAGTAAGATTAATGCAAGACATGGCCTAGGTCAGCAGTTAAAAGCAAGTCATTCTCCACACGCCTTGAAACTTTATTTAAAGACAAAAGACATTACAAAACAGCTAAGGAGTGGCCAGGATTGAGGGAGGATAATTTAGATGCGGGTGTTGTACTTAAACTCTATACAAACTCATCATTTATTTTGGGCTGTTAGTAGACCTGTATCCAAACTCGCATTGACAAACTTAACGGACTGGCAAAGGGTAAATCTTGCGTAAAGTAAAATGTATTGAATCTGACGTAGTGGTGTTACTAAACTGAACTCCACCCTTAATTCATATTTAAAGGGCTATCAGTCTACAACCAAATAATTGGTAAGACATTTATTATGAACACAACCTTAAGAATGAAACCTTAACATGTCAACCAAGTAAATCTATCTATGCTGAAACCAAATATGAAAGGCAGCCTTATAACTCCCTTGAGTATAAAATTCTTCAGCCATGAAGTGCACCTCTCCTGGAACGCTGTGCATGTGCTAAGGAATGTAAAGCTGAACAACTTACAAAAGAAAAATGTCAAGAGCTGTGATATAGATCTACTCAAGACTTCTGGCACTTCTCAATTCCGTAGGTAGTAAGTGATAAGTTTAGTTTGGTCAGACATACAAGTGGTAATGCTACTACTGGCATGCCTACAGACCTGATTAGCAACAGTGTATTTAAAAAACAAAACAAAAAACAAACAGGCAGACACAAACTAATATCAGAGCAGTTTAAACCGTGGCACTGAAAAGGAGTATTTATTTAATTTTTTTTAATCCAAGAGACTTTTAACTCATTTCTCTCTTTTATCATATGCAATCATTTGTTTCAACTGTGTCTAGGAAAAATGAAAGGTGTCCATCAATTTGGTGGGAAAAAAAACTGAAAAAGAACAAAACACTGGAAATTGACTGCAAATAGTTCAATTTAAAACAAATGACACCATATCATAGTAGAAAATCACAGGCAAACATAATTTTATTCTCTTTCTACAATTTTTAGGATTATAATTTAAAACTGGTCATTTTGAGTTTCTAAACAGTTTCATCATATTGAATATTTAAGGTAGGTTCAAGGTCATATTCTATTTGCAGAAATCAAAATCTGTCATTGCCAACATATCAGACCACAGTGTATTTCATGTATTCTCAATTGTACTGTAAATTATGTAACCCTTTAATTATTATTAATCCCTTAACAGTAGTGAATGTACGGAGACCCAGAAGGGACGTAATAGTGAAGAAAAAAATAAGTGGAAAAAAAAACAGTAAAAGGAACATTTTTTTTTTGTTTTTTGTTTCCTCGCAGATGTTTTGCATTCCCTCGCAAAACTACTTTTCCACAAACACTTTCTTTTCACTTCATACATATAAACCCTCCCATTTTTGCCAGGATTCTCCCGTATTTTACCATTCTATCCCTATCATCCTATCATTAAGTATTTTCTCATATTTCTCATGTATTTTTAATCTTGAATACTTGCTGAACATTAAAGCTGCTCAGCAAAAAAAAAGGTTGATCGCCCCCCTTCATATGCAACCTCTGAATCAGCCAATGCATGTATAAGCCAATTACTGGTATAAGTGATGACTGACAGACGCGCTCCACTTGATAAACTAATCCCAGATCAGCTTCTGTACACGCCATTTAAAGAGGAGCGCAGTGCAGGACACGTTGGGATTTAGGTGTATGTGTAAACAGTTAAACACAACTGATTTTCTCTTAAATGAGCATAAACGGTTACGTTACTAAAGTAGTTGAAGGCTTTCATTACAGATCTGTTAATTCTTAAAAAGTGACCCCACAGCTATCAAACAAAAAACTAGAGATTCATTTGCTGCTTTTCACTTGTTTGATAACAGATGCCAACTTTAAATGGCGTGTATAGAAACTGATCTGGGATCACTTTATCATAAGGAGTGCGTCCATATCTGATTTAGAGGTTGCATATGAAGGGGGACGATTGATGCAGAGCTTTAATGGAAAAAAAGTGAAAGCAGACATTTTTATATTAATTTCAGCGAGCTTTCAAGGTAAAAAATACATGAGTAATATAGTAAAATACTTAATGATAGGATGATAGTGGAATATATTGGTAAAATAAGGGAGAATCCCGGCAAAAATGGGAAGGGTGACATGTATAAAGTGAACAGGAAGTGTTTGTGGAAAAACAGTTTTGCAAGGGAACGCAAACATCTTTGCGAGAAAACGCAAAAACCTAAAAAAACAAAATTTTACTATTACTGTATTTTTTTTTTGTTCCACCCATTTTTGCCCCACCATCTAGTCCATTCCAGGGTCTCTGTACAAATGTCAGACAAAAATCATCTCATAATGAATTTTTTTAATGGCAACTGACCATCTTGGCTCAGAAGTTTGATTAAAATAACAATACTAACTTACATTAAACAAAACTTGCAAACTCTTTATGTAAGACGGTGTAACGACACTAAGGATTACCACTGTCGCCTGACAAGATCTTCTTACATATGGAACACATTGAATAAATGGTCTTAACACCATAGCTATACCATATGATGGAGGCTAAACATTTACTTAAATCAAAGACATGTGAATGGAGAAGGATTTAATAACTCTTAATCCTGAACAAAAATCTCCATTCAGACAGCCAAACACACAACCCGGTTTTAGATTTAGCTTCCAAAGCCAAAGAAGCCTTTGAAGTAGCCAGCGATGCCACCCTTCCCCTTCTGCTCAACCTTGTCATCAAGCGGTGGAAGCACCACATGGTTGAGAGCCAGGTCAAAGAAGAGAGGCTTGCATGGAATTGGCTGAAAGTCTGGAGGGAACTGCACCAGGTTGGGCTGCTTGCTCAAAAGGTTGGAGTCTAGTCGGAAATTATCCAGTCGATCAGACAGAGGCTGTGAATATACCAGAAAACAGCTCTTAAGTTCAAAGCAACAGAAGAACAACACAATGTGCTCATACTGTAAAAAAATTTCTACAGAAATACAAAAAAAAGAAAAATTAATCTTTAATGAATCACAATTAATCATAAGGCTGTAATGTAAAGTTCACATGGTCAACAAGATTAACAGCATGCTGATTTTCCTGCCAGGGCTTTGCTGTAAATAAGATAATAACAAATAAATAATGGGTGCCCTCAGATCTCTGAGTCAGGGGTGAGCAGAGACGGAGCACCTACTGTAGGTCTCTGAATACTACCAGATTTACCGGTCATTGTGATCAGAATGAAATGTGTGCAAAGTAGGCATCAGTCACGGTGAAGGGTATCCGACGAAGGGGCGAAGGGACTACCAGACCATCTGCGCACACTTGACGCAGAAGAATAATTCAGCCTTTATGCCGATCGATAAACTGTTCAGTCAATGAACCACCACAAAAACCTTTATTCTCCAGCCTGGTCACATGTTCAGCTTGTTACACTACACGCAGAACCTGTTTATATGGTGAAATCCTAATGGAGAACACCTGGGGGGCGCAGCTATCATACGGGGATTTATCAAGCAGTGCTGCCATTTCCCTGTGCTAATGGAAACGGCTTAAGTAATTCAAGTCATTTTAAACGTTTTGCTTTCAAACCATTTTTAAAATGTAAGGCTGAGAGTACAAATTCTGCTTGGCAAATCAGTTATTCTTGTGTGAAGAGAGAAGACATCAGTTACGTCAACAAAGTCAGCAAATTCTTTACCAAATCAAGATATAAAATAAGAAGTGTCCATAAGACAATGATATAAGCTAAATTAAAATTATTCCGTTTATTATAATATATCACAAGCATGTGCTTTTCACACAAAAAAATACTAGTTACACTACATAATAGTAGCTTAATTTATAGTAATTAGGTTACTATAATGTTTTAAAACTATATATATATATATATATATATATATATATATATATATATATATATATATATATATATATATATATATATATATATATATATATATATATATATAAAATAGCATTTAAAACTATTTGTTAATGAATGCCCTAGCACACAGTAGTATTAACTATAGTGATCTGAAGAACTTTAACAAATATTGAATACTTTAGTTTTTACTATAACAAATTGGTGTATTTTAGGGTTAAATGACAATTAAAAGCTTGGTATCAATTGTCTGCAATCTTATCTATAAAGTGAAATTACTGTAAAGTTCAAACATTGTTGAATAACAGGAGTGTCAAAATAAATGAAAAATCATCAAAATACAATATAAAATTGGATAAACAATATGATAATTTAACAATATAATAGGACGTAGGACGATAAGGACGATAAGGTTGCAAAGATTTTTTTTATTTGATACAGGTTCATTTGTGTATCTTCAGATTAATAGAAATTAATAATGTAATCTGTGTTCTTTTTTCCTGTTTAGAATTTAACTGAGCCTTTAATTGTCATTTATGAAGAATTTTTAAAGCATAAAGTGTCCTCACTTTAGAATAGGTCACATAACTGGATGATGTCGAGTTAATAAAGCTATTAGTATATGCCAGAATAAAAAGAATTAAAAATGCTAATGTGAATTGTTTATTAATCAATTACTAACTCATTCTGAATGATCTTAAAAAAACAACCAACTATGCTGAAATAACTGGTATGTAAATATTGCAATAATGTAGTAATTAAAAATAAATCATTAGGATATGAAAGTACAATTATTAAGCACATTATAAATGTGATTGTAAGTCAAGAATAGAGAATTTGTAGTTGCAGTTAGCTGCTTACTAACATTTATTATAGAGTTAATGCTTAACAGATAATGAATTCACTATTTGCTAATACTTAAAGTATAAGTGTTATCCAATATTTTTTTTCTTCGATATATATTTCGATATGAATACAATTTCACCAGATGTCTTAATATTTTTCTATTTAGAAAGAATTTATAACGTTAAATTGATTGGGATAATACTGCAGTGGGAGCGCATCTTCACAAAATCTATAATACAATCTAGAAATACAATCAAGAAAAAACATACAACTGAAATGAAGCGTTTTATTGTTTTCAGAGTCTAACAATAGTCAATTCTTAGATAATTAAATTTTTTTTTAAAGTCCCAAATAGTACAGATTATTACTGTATGCTTGAAAGCTTTAAAAATTAATATACAATCCCAGGCATCAAAAACAAATGCAAATTACCATTGCAATGTGACTATTGCAAATGAACACATTGCAACATTGATGCTGAAATGATATATTGTGCAGCCCTAGTATATTTTAGTATAATATACCCTGTAGTTGTAGACAAGCCATTTGTTTATATATATATACACACACACACACATATACATATATATATATATATATATATATATATATACATACATACATATACATACATATATGTGTGTGTATATGTGTGTGTGTGTGTGTGTATATATATATATATATATATGTGTGTGTGTGTGTATGTATATATATACATACATACATACATACATACATACATACATACATACACACACACACACACACACACGCACACACACACACACACACACACATATACATATACATATATATATATATATATATATATATATATATATATATATATATATATATATATATATATATATATATATATATATATATATATATATATGCATACTTAAGCCAGCTCTCTCATAAATAAATTCAGAGAAATACTAAGAATCTGAAGTAGTTACTTTGTGCTGGCAGCAAATCATTACCTTAAATTAACACATTGACCTGATATCTTGAGACCTTGATTCAACTTTTCAAAACGAAAAATGAAATTACTACAAAATTAAAAAAAACAAAACACCAAAATAACCATGTTTCACTTTCTGCTAAAATATAGGAGTCGTATAACTGCTTTCAGCAATGCATATAACCTACACTATATGAATAGCATCTAAGAAAAATCAGACATGATCTTTCTCAGACGCTCTTTATTATTATTATTATTATTTATGATCTGTATTATTTAAATATACTACGGAGCACCCAGGGTTTTATGTCTTTGTCCGGCCATCGTCAGTTCAGAAACCATGTTAAAATAATGTAATAATTACTTAGTGTATAAGTATACTGTGGAAAAAAGGAATTTATTTTTATTACTTTTGTGTCTTTACTTTTTATTAAAAAAATGTTTAGACTAACAACAGATTAATCAATCTTTCTCTTTTGTATTATACCACATATTGACCAGACAAACTTCCTCTTTTTTACTGTGCTGCTTACTTTTTGGAAGGAACTGCTGACAAGAGGGAAATAGCAGAATAAGAATATTGCGGGGGACCTTGCTCCAGACTGCTGTTTGTCTAGACATGTCACAAGGAGCATGATGCTTGTAGAAGTGTTGAAATATATTAAAGATGCACGTAATTGTTCAGTTCTGGTATGCAGAGAAGGGTAACAGAAAGAGGAAGTATGTCTGGGGTACAAGAGCCAAAGGACTGCAGATGACCGATAAGTGACGTTACCCCAGAACTCCACCTGTTAATATCAGTTGTGTATATATGCTGGAGTCAGGGAAATGTATGTTAGTTGCGAACCTCTTGAATTTAATTCTTGTATTGCATTGGGGTAAAGTAACCCAGAGCTCTGTCATCGAATTATTCATTTGTATCTATTAAATTACTAATATTTTTGGCATTAAAGAAAACCCTCTCCAGGCCTTTTCTTATTGAACACGCATGGAATTGGCTTGATATTCCAACAATACTATAATGCACTGCTCTCTAGTGTCTTTATTTATTTAAATAGAGATGCCAAGTGATAAAAGACATGACAAACGTCAGAAGAATCTTTACTTAAGAGGTCAGAGGTACTTTACGTCAGAGGTACTTTACTTTACCACCCTGTAACTTGCCATTTTGACTTCTGACCACAAATGAGTGGATAATTCATAATCATCCATGACATTTAATATTTTAGTTTTAATTACTATGGCCTTCCACATTTATCATTCCTCAGAAAAACATTAGCAAAATCGAAAAATTTCAACGCGGGGAAGCGATCACAAATTGAGGAGCGGGGAAGGGAGGCGGGGTGGAGCGACAACGCGGGAAGCCTTCACAAACTGATGAGCGATCACAAACTGAGGAGCATTCACAAACTGAGGAGCGGGAAAGGGGGCGGGTGGAACAACAACGCGGGGAAGCCTTCACAAACTGAGGAGCGATCACAAACCGAAAGCGGCAAGAGCGTCAAAGTAACCAGAAGTCATTCATTTTTAACGAGAACCAGCGGCGAGGAAAAGCACGGCGAGTCTTCTCCTGTGTGGCCGTCGAGGAGAGTTGAAATCAAGTCAACTTTATGGTATGAGCTATGACGCGGTTCGACGGCAAGCAATCAGAATGAAGTATTCCACCGCTTGAGAGGAGTTCAGAGAACACAGACCTGTGAACTTTGGCTCCGACCACAGTTGTTCCCAAGACTGATTATTGCGGTTGCCGGATTTTCAATTAGTGAAAATCGTGACGACGTGGGGTCTCCTAATCACGCGGGGCCCCCCCTCCGTGCGTGCCCTGCGGGTCCGTCCGCTACGCCACTCAGTTCATTATAGATAATACAACAGTATGCTGAAGAATTTATTAACTGAGGGTTGTAAATGCTATAATATACAGTAAAAAACACTTTACTATACTATGGTTCAATTTAAAGTATTTAGTAAAAACTACTATAGCATTTTTTCACCGAGCAGTGCTGTTTAACATATCTGGTACCATTAATATCTGAAATCAATTGTAATTGAGCAGGTGTACACCACACTTTTCATTAATTTTATTCTTCTAAGTGTTTTATTGTGATACTCAATGACATGTGTGAATGTTTGGGCTTATGACTGGTGCTTTGCATTGTTTACTAGGTCTGCCTCTTCACTGTTAGCAGCACACTTAGACTCACCAACAACTTGTCTTTTTGTTTTTAGCAAGGTGCTGCTGTAGGGTCAAAAATAATTATGTCAACTACGACATCAACAATCATTACCAGCATTGCTGTGCTATACTAGTGATGCTGACGAGAAATTCATAAGTAATTTATTTATTATTTTTTTTAAATCGGGGTGTGAGAAAATATTTAACACAAAAAATGAGGACCAAGGCTATGAGAAAAGGCATCTTGACTGGGAATGTACCAATAATCAAACAAAGAAACTTATCCCACTTAGACACTGTACAGTATATCACTGGCCAAGAAAGAAGAGTTGCGTGTTGGCCCAAGACTGTGGATGACATGTGCTCCAGCCATGCCTCATTCTTTGATCATTCTAGCCGGCAGCTAGCTCTCTGCAACTCTCACATGGTCGCCCACTGAAGCTAAGCAGGGCTGCGCCCGGTCAGTATCTGGATGGGAGACCACTTGGGAAAGCTAGGTTGCTGCCGGAAGTGGTGTTAGTGAGGCCAGCAGGGGGTGCCCAACCTGCGGTCTGTGTGGGTCCTAATGCCCCAGTATAGTGATGGGGACTCTATACTGCTCAGTGAGCGCCGTCTTTCGGATGAGGTCCCGAGGTCCCGACTCTCTGTGGTCATTAAAAATCCCAGGATGTCCTTCGAAAAAGAGTAGGGGTTTAACCCCGGCATCCTGGCCAAATCTGCCCACTGGCCTCTGTCCATCATGGCCTCCTAACCATCCCCATATCATGATTGGCATATCATCACTCTGTCTCCTCTCCACCAATCAGCTGGTGTGTGATGTGCGGTCTGGCGCAAAATGGCTGCCGTCGCGTCATCCAGGTGGATGCTGCACACTGGGGGTGGATGAGGAGATTCCCCCCCATTGTGTAAAGCGCTTTGAGTGCCCAGAAAAGCGCTATATAAATGTAACGAATTATTATTATTATTATTATGATCAAGTCAGAATACTAATTACTGAAGTCATTCTTCACTCAACCAAAGAAAACTTTGCCACCCTCAAGACGTTTATCCGAGACTGCATTGAATATTAGCTCAATGGCTTAGACATATGCAAGCATCATTACATTTTAATTAAACACAGGTTTAGAATAAGCCTGTAGGCCTCTTGTAAATGTTTGATGGCATTTCAGTTGGTTAAACTGAATTGTCTTTGTTTAGTCATTCCCCTGCTTCACTTATTCACTTATTCACTCATTTATTTTCACATTTCCTCTACCCTTTTGAATGTATGCTTCATTGTGCGTTTGCCTTTAAGATAAGTCACTGTTTGTTTGTCACCTTAGCTTAAGCACGTGTGGAAGTTTGTGATAATTGCTTGCAAAGTCACTTTCATAATTAAGCTTAAGCACCTAATTAAAACAGTATTTTTTAAAAATGGAGCCACTAAAATGCAATTAAGGGAATTAATACAATCAATGCTGAAGTAGAGCTGCACAATTCTAAAATGAGAATCACATTTTTTTTGCTTAAAATAAAGATCCCGATTTTCTCACATTCTGTAGAATAAATGTTAATATGAGTCAGCAATTATTATTGTTTTTTTCAAACATATGGTAAAACAACAATAATAATATGTGTAGGTCTGCTGGTTTCTATAAATAATTGTATTCTACTTATAATAATTCTGATGTTGAATTATGTTTGAGATATGTGCTTGCAATCTGTCATTGACAACATTATTAGATCATTTTATTCACTGGTAAAATCAACATTATATAGGCTAGTGTAGTTATACTGACTGTTTATTTTCATGCACAACTGTGTGTTCGCTATGAAAGAAAATGCATATCAAATGCTTGTCGCAGTCATAACTCTAAAATGCGATATGATTTTTTAAATGATGTACACGCTTTCGGTTTCATTTTCACTGCTAAGTGTTGTACATACTTCGCGCGCGGCTCTCAAAGGATCACTCTGTGCCACAAACTGAATATTATTTACAACTTTATGATCTTTTATTCACAGCCTATGCAGGTTCTGCTCACTAAAAGTAGACGCGAGCGCGTCTATCATTAAGTAGGGCGCGCGCCTGCCCTCTCTGTTGTAACAGCTCACGGTCAGCAGCTCATGTCACATGTGATTTCCCGGCCGCGAATACAGCATTATATGAAGACAAAAATTAAACTTCTGGGTGAATTATACCTTATGCATACAGTATGTGACTCTTTTAACATCATTTGGAGGTGTCCATATCGCTGGGCAATGTATGTGAAACAATGAAAAACACTTGTGCTGCTGCCTTTGCTTTTCTCTTGAACTTGAAAATATGATTGGCAGAATCGTAGAAATGCTGGATTAAGATCGTCTAGGGGTCATATTGAGATCGCGATCTTTTTTCTAATAATTGTGCAGCTCTATGCTGAAGGTATAACTGTTCCAAATATGCATAAGAAACTATAACTATTTTTAATGAGCCTTTAACAAGACAGACCCTGTATTGAAAATTCTGTAAACACATTAAACATGTCCTCTCTTACCGTGGTGTCTTTAATCTGCTGCTGTGAGGGCAACTCAGCAATGTCTTCAGTGTCTAAAACACGAATATAAATATCAGTGTTAAAAAAAATTAACAAAACAAAACAAAAAAAAGAGCTAAAAAAAGCCAATTTTAGCACATTAAGAATGAGAGCAAGAAAAATTGCTCTGGTCAAATCTACTCACCTAAGATGGCTGCAGCTTGGAGGGAGTACTTTTCAGCATTGACCTCAGCAATGAGTTCCTGGACATCAGGAAGATCCTGAAAAGAATGGAACAACAAATACTAAGTGGCACTCTTATTTAATAGAATTCTGTTTTACTATAGAACCCATTTCATGTTGCAGAACTACACAGCTTAATGTTTAACTTTAAAACTACAAATTATGATTACTAAATAACAATTATATTAATAACTAATTAATATAATAATAAAAATAATCTGTAACAACTGATTAAAACCCTCACAGTATTACTTGTCTGCAGAATGCATTTGACGTATGCAAGATGCCTGTTTTAGTGATACAGCCATTTAGAGTAATTTCTATGTCCATACCACAGTATAACAATAATGTAGAAACTGGTTTTAGAGCATCTATTTTCTATGAAATTAAAGAAATGCTGTCATTAAAGGTGCATTAAAATACTAAAATCTGAAAGCATGTGAAGAAACAATGTTCAAATGCTCATGGTTAGAATAAAAGGGACCATAATGGTTCAAAACGCAGTGGAAACTAATATTTTACAGAAACACTATTACAGATATTGTTCTTGGTGTAAGCAAGCCTTTCAGTATGAGCTCTATGTCCTCCTTGTTTGTTTAATTTTGAATTATTTAAAGCTCACCATTGTGGCAAGTCTTGAGCAAATATCCAATATGGACACTGTATAAAAAAAAAAAAACAATGTCTTGTGTTTGGTACCTTAAGGTTGTTACTAAGGCTCTTTGCTTTGGATTGGACCTCTTTGGTATATTTCAGAACCCTTTCGTAAAGAACAAGAGCTTCACTCCACTTCTTCACCAAAACATAGGATTGAGCTATGTAGAAACACCTGTCGAAAGCACAACAACAAACATTTTATAACCATTGCCCGTTCTTCTATTCAAACAGTAAACATAACCCTACATAGTGTGATCTGAACAAAACCCATTGTAAATTCTGTTTGCACCCGAATATAGAATGGAATTTAGAATTTAGAAAGTGTAGCAAAGATTTGCCTACAATACTGCACTTTAATCTGCGATTTTACAAAAAAAAAAAATCTGAGCTAAAATCTTAAAGTTTGAACATGCCATTAGTTACATGCAGGACAAATCTTCATGTATAATACAGATTTAATAAGATCAACACCTTCTCCCCCCACCCCCACCCCACCCCACCCATCACTAAACAACTTTTTAATTCGATCATGAAAGTGTTCTACTTGTTTGAAGACGTTTTTAGCCATTTGAAAATTTTATAGTAATATTAAGAGTTAATAGTCTCCTAAAGATCTGTATAGCAGATCCCACCAAGGAAATAAAATCACCTGTAAGCCTTGTAGACCAAAGTCTTGAGGGACAGTTCTTTCTGGAAGGTGTGATCCTCCTCTAGACCCTGCAGTGATGACAGCTCAGCAAGACTCTAGAAACAATTGAAATGGTGAAAAATCAGAAGCAACTAACCATAAACCTAATCCATATAGTAACTACATGTCAATAATACTTCTCAGTACTTACATATGTAATTTAAATTAACAAAGACACCTACGTGTGCACCATTTAGTGTGTTCTAAGCAAGCTATGTTGACTTTCACCTTGATATTTTAGCGTGGAAGTATACCTGGCCGATGAGCTGTCTAAAAAAAAATAAATAAATAAATAAAAGTGCCCTTCAAATTCAAATCAGCAGAATATCCTATCTGGATCTTTCACTTACTTCTGACTATGTTTACAAATACAAATCTAGGTATTTGCCTTAATAGACAATAATATAATTAAAGTGTTTACGTTAAGTGCTTTCATGTAGGAGTTATCTGTAATTTTGGCTTTATCTGCAGCTTGGCAGTTTCACATTTACTCATGTACATTTTATTCCTTCCCCTCGTGATAAACTGGGGTATTAGACACAAATAAGGAGTAAGGACTAGTGAGTGAGTTATGGAATTTAATAACGCATGCAAAATAGAAAGAATAAAACTTCGGCATTTGGCGATGCGTGTGGGTGCAGTCTTTTACTGACAGCCACTTGTGTGGATCTTGTCGAAAATTATGGTGAAAAGTCCTACATGACGGTAATAGTTTGATTGCGGTGTTTACTTCCATAATGCCACTAATATTTGCATACTCCACATTTTAATTCCATTTCTGTTTGGTTCAATTATGACTTTAGTCAGATTAGGGTGATCAAAAATCACTGTTTCGAGCTTATGTAGGCCTACAGTTCAAAATGCATGTTTAACTGAATAAACAGTTAGTAAACACAAGTACATCTTATTGATGAACAATTTATTTTCATCACCAATTATCGTAGTAGAACAGTTTGTGATGCATTTTGGAAACAGGAGATGAGGCCCTGGTCTAAGAAACTTGTTTTCAAAGACGGGGCTCGAAATTGCGACAATTTTGGTCGCATATGCGCCCGAAAATTAATCTGTGTCCTCATAATATATTTGGTAGCATTTGTGCGACTGCATATAATAGGTGTAGTGCGGCCTGTTTTGATTTTTTTCTAAAAACGTGATCATGACATGTGGTGTATGTTGATCCGGCAGCTGAGATCAGTCGAGTCGGAGAAGGTGCCCTAATCTCGATGCGTTGCATTCACCGCGTGTTCAGCACAAATATCCGCTAAATGTAAAATTTAATGCTGTACACATCATCGCCCAAGAAGCTCGCCTTTACTAAGAAGCTCGCCTTACACAAACTGCGGCTTACAACAAAGAGCGGTATTGCACCGGTGGTCACCGCGGGAATCCTGCTCTGCCTGCACATATATTGGGTCAGCTGACTCGCCTGCTTTTCCACAGAAAAATGAAGATCAGCTCATAACGAGACTGAACATTTAAATGGACACAAACTGAAACTAAAACTTTTAAAGACTGATAGAAGTGAGACTTTTCTTTCTTTTGTCCATTCTTTCTTGAGATGTATATTATTTTTCTATTTAATTACTGATGATTGTTTTGCAGCTTTCAGCCTTGAATTGAATGATTTATTATAGTCTTTTGTTTGTTTTGTAGCAGAAACATTATTAATGTTATGGCCCGCCCAAGTAAAGTCTGTGTGGAAAGCACTGACATATCCATCCATTCGCACGCACGCACACACACACACACACAAATAAATTTATCTGAACCTGCAGAATGATGTCATAGAGTCGTATGAGATCCTGTGGTCGCGGTCCTCTCTTGTTCTCATCAGTCTGAGGCTCTTTCAGCTTAGTTTGCAGTGAATGTGCCATGCTCTCATTTCTCTTCACCACGGTCCACAACTTGATATATGTAAGATAGCTATATGCAGATATGTAGACAATAACAGATATACGTTTAGCACATTAAGCACAGTAAAACAGCTTAAAAGAAACAGCTTTTATTTGATTCCTTAGCAGTCATTACGGCAGCTGTTATATTAACATACCTGTGTAAATACTGCAGATTAGATACCTTGCTACTCTCAGCAACGTCTGTGGCTCGTTCCCTCTGCTTCTGTAGTGGCAAGACACACAAACCTTTAAGTTGGTTTACTACACGCACACAACCTAGGGGTGGTGTGTATGTGTGTGTATGTATGACATTTTAAACCTTAAATGAGAAGGAAAAGTTTGTTTTAAAAATCTCTAAATATCCAATATATAAACAAAAAGTGTTGTACTCTATGATATATTAACTATTAAATCTATATCATGAAAATAATAATAATATTATTAATAATAAAACCAAACAGAGAGTGAAGGTTTATTTAGCGAAGTAATGGCAGAGATTTGCTTAAAATATACACACACACACACACACACAATACACACAATATTATGGGTGACCATTTAAAAGAGGACAATTGTTTGTGTGCATCTCGCTGGCACATAAGTAACCAAGACAGCAAGTCTTTGTGATGATTCAAGAGCCAAGGTGATCCAGGGTAATGTCAGCATACCACCAAGAGGAACAAACCACATCCTACAGGAGTAACTCTGGCGTGGATGTTCGAGTGCTAACCTAGATTGCTATTGCCAGACCTTTGGTCACTCATGATAATACCAAATGTTAGTTTCAATGGTGTCAGCAGCAAAAATATTGGGCTGTGGTCAATGTAAAACATGCATTGTTCTCAGATGAGGCCACCTTCACTTCCTTTCCCGCATCCAAGAGAGTTAAAGTGTGGAGAAGCCCCAAAGAAGCATACCACTCAGACTGTTGTATGCCCAGAGTGAAGCATGGGAGTGGATCAGTAATGGTTTGGGGTGCAATATCATGGCATTGCCTAGACCCAACACTTGTGCTAGATGGGCGCGTACTGAGCAGAGGACTGAGAGGCTACAGAAAGCTGCTGCCTGCATGTGCCTGTACCTCACAAAATTATTAAACAATAAATATTATTATTTCCTACAAGCCCCACAGAATGATGATTAGGGGATGGTGAAGTTAAGAGAAATTAGCCCGCGTCTGGCTCTTACTGGTGGGTGCAGTGCAGCAATTCTTTTCAAATGGTCATACAGTGAAAATATCCCCATTAGAGTATAGGCAACCCAGCTTACAAGCCTCATGCATATGTGGCTTGTAGCCAGTGGCTTCTAGTCCCACTGCTACTCAAGTCACTGAGAAAGTGTGGATCGACTATCTGCTACGGGTGCTTCCTTGCTGGTTTAGAGGGCTAGCAAGTATGAGAAACCCCATGAACAAAGCTGAATTAGTGGTGGCGATGGAGTTGACCTAGGTAATGTTTAACCAAGATGCTGGAGAGAGAAAGGCTATGAACGTGGATTCCCAACAACTGTAGGGCACCTTGCGACCAGTGAGCAGACCAGTGGTCCCCAATGCCATGGATAAGACAATAACCATCGAAGCCACTTCCCTTGACGTCCAAGCTTGGTAACCCTCTTCATTGTCCACAATCCTGGGATTTGTGGATTTCCCACTTGAACCATCCAGCTAGAAAGACAATCAGTGACGGCAGTGCTAGATTCAGGGAGTTCTGTTACTCTAGTTCAGCTGGAAGTAGTGACACCCTGAGCCAATAACAAAGCCACAATACCCACCACATACACGGAGATACACGTCACGTACCAGCTTGCTGAATAATGATCTTGGCATTTCCTGGAGCCTGGCCTACAGAAGTAGGCATGGTGAGAGACTTACCAATCCCATCCTCCTGAAAGGAGACTGGCTGGGGTTTGATCAACATAAGGGAGGCCTTGGAACAGCAGCAACAAAGTCCCCACTGCATCAAAGAACATATGGCAAAGTCCTAGTGTGTTCGTTGGCAGGAACAGAGTTGAGAGAAACAGATATACCACCTAAACCTGTTGAAAAGATAGACCCCACCATCAGGCCAGCTCGCTACTTTCTCTTAAGATGCCACTCCCATTGTATATCTCAGAGGAGAGTTGTGAGCAAGTCAGATAAGCAAGCTGGCTGCCCTGGTCAGTCAGATCACATAGCAGCCCAGGTGAACTCATGTCATCCAGCATGAGATCAGGACGCCCCCCAATGAAACAGGTATGTGAGGCACATCGAGTGGCGATAGAAGAGATCACCAGCATGAGACAGCTCAGAGGCATTAAAATATCAAAGAGATCCTGGTCCAGCCCTGTCGTGATGGTCCTGAAGGATTTGGATTTCTAACTTCCAACCTGTCTCAGCATCGCTCAACGTTTATCCTTTTCTCATCATCCTGTTTCTCATTTTTATTAAAAATTATTATTGAATAATGAGTAAAGTTAACACATTGCTTAATATAAGAATGTTCAGCACATTTGCTTATCTCTTTATATCTATTTTCAGAAGCCACCAAACTAGGTCAGAGGTCACTGAGACCTTGAGTGGAACTGAGGGCTGAGGACTGGACGAAACCGTTTCCATTGTTATTTCTATGAGTTAATACGATCTAAAATGTCTAAAGTGATTTTGCTGTTTTTACGGTTAATTCTTTTAAAGTGATTCTACTTTTTATTTAAGATAGACTTTGTGAAGTAAGAATATAACTGCCTGAATGTAGATTATACTGGTTTTTAACCAGTTTTGATAAAAACGGCTGAGAATACACTCAGCCTTGGGTAAGAAACCAATTGTACATTAAGTGTTTGTGTTCTATTTGATTGTGGATCAGTTTCATAAGTCTGGAATCAGTTCTAAACAGTCTAGTGGATGTCTGACGTTTATATGCTTGAGATATTGTTCAGAATTGTACGCACTCACCCACGTGGAAATGATCCTAGTCTATCTGTGTTTTAACCAATCAGGTAAAACATCTATATGTATGAGTCCGTTAATGTCGTTATGTGAGAGTATAATTGTTAATGTAAGCAGAGCAGCCTAGGAACTCATTGCAAGTGCTCAAGCTGGCTTCTGCTGATGAAACTGCAAACTATCTGCAATGAACTTTTTTTTTTTATTTGAACTTTTAGAACTTTTTCTTTTAAATTTATTTATTTGAATCTCTGACTCTGGCTCTTCTTCATCTGACAGACTGGTAATTTTTTGGGTTAAATCATAAGACGTCCAGTGACTAAACAAAATTTCCGTATTTGACAGCTACCCCATGTCCAAAGTGGATGAACTCCTGGAGCGGCTTGGCAAGGCCTGGTACAACTCAACACTGGATTTAATAAAGGGTTATTGGCCAGTCCCCCCTTCTCCCAAATCTAGAGAAACAAAACTGCCTTCAGCACCCCAAATGACCACTGCCAGAATAGCGACCTTTCCTTCTAACTGCACCGGGCCCCAGCCGCCACCTGGTGAATAATGAACATCCTGCTGAGGCCGCACCAGGAGTATATAGCAAAATACAGTAAAAACCCATTAATAAACTCAATATCTAAGTTTAAGGCAGTATATTCATAAATATGCACTTTTCATTAAATACAAAATGAAACTTTGACTCTTCTAACAGAAACTAGCATCTAACACAAACACACTCCCACACATTTTTACAGGTTGTATAGAAGTGTAAAAGGATTATAGTTGCATTCCAAGACTTGCATTCCTTCTGTGATGTGGAGAACTCCCTCTGTTAAACTAGGTTTCCATGTGGGTTTGCTGGTGATCAGTTCCTGGTCCTCACAAGGCTTGGAGAGGAGTCTGAAGGTTGAAGTTTGAGGTGGCAAAAGACCACCTTGTTGTTGTGTTGACTTCTGGTTTTGCGATGCACTAAACTTAATTGGGTTCTTGACAAGGGCTGGGCGATTAATTAAAGTACTCGAAATCAACATTCAGAACCTATAATTGATACATTTTTCCAAGTTGATTTTTCCAGTTATTTTCCCTACATGTCACGTGACCCCACTCTGTTAAAAATATTATTATTAATTATTTTTAAAATCCAGCACTGTGCTTGTAAACATTAATGAAATGTGAACTAACAATGAAAACTGTATGTTCATTTATTAACATTAAAAAGAATAACATTCAAAAAAAAAAAGATTTTCATTGTTTGTTCACAGTAAATACATTAATATGAACTGTGTTCTGTATCGTAAAATGTTACTAAATATTTTCTAAATGTCTAATGCAAATGTATATTGCACATTAAGGAAGTGTAAGAGGTGTTATTAATAAGTCTCTCACCACATCAGTCCTGAGCTCCTCCCTGACAGCCTGGATGGTGTCTCTACACTCTGCCAGCAGACTCTCATACAGGTGCTCCTTAGTCTCTTCATTATCTGCCTGTGAACAGTTATAATAATAGTCAAGATACCTGTATTTAGTGTGCTGCATGTGCATTATTGTGATTTTTAGGGTTTCACAATAAATTTGTGGTGTATCTCTGGGTGCTCACAAAGAAAAACTGGTAAAAAAAAGATCAGGTATAAAGTTCCATCAACGTAAAACAAGGTCAGTACATCAAACAGTTGCATTAAAAAAAACATTTTTTTTATTTTTTTTTTTTACAAACTCAGTTGCCAATTCTGTTCAAGTTCTAGTTTGTTCATTTAGGATATGGTTCATTTCAACGTTGAAGGGTGTGATTGTACAGCAGGGAAGCTCTACCAACACTAACCAAGCAAGCAAAAGATAACAGGGACAAGGAACTCTGTCAAGGGACAGAAATGGAGAAAAAGCATTAGGAAAAACTAGTTGGGATTTACTTGCCTAAGTTGGGGACAAGTTCCCCTTAGGCAAGTAAATGAAGAAGCAGAGCTACAGATCAGTAAATAGCAGACAGTTGGCTTTTCAGTGTTCCATCAATTGAACACTTCTTGGCAAAAGTGTATGTGGACTGTAGGTGAACTGAAGGCTGAGAGTAGCTATATGTGATGTGTAGATCTATGACAAGTGTCATAGTTAGTGGATAATAGTAGATTTTTTCATTTAAGGGGCAATGGATATGAAAATAGATCAGCCTGCTGCCAGAGTCAAAGTTATTTTAAAACATTCATAACATTCTAATTCCACAATGAAACAATTGTCTGTCATTAAAAATGCATATTTGATTATCCAGAATTTCCAGAAACAAAACTTAGCACACACGCCCACAGACAGACTGTAGTCACGCCAAAACTACACCTTGCTACTAGCTGCAACTGGGTAAACCAGAATTTCAGTTAATGCTAGACAGTGTTTGAAAAGCAGCAAGAACTTGTGCCATAGTGAGAACACAGTGGTAGCTATTTCTGTGGCCGCTACATGCATTCAGTTTTATTCTTTGACACAAATGTACACACACATTTCAGTATGGTTATGAAATAAAGACCAATACAAGTTTTGTTTTTACTCCACTTTTTTTCCTGTAATCAGATTGAGCAGCACACTGTGGAGTTAGTTTGTTTATTGCTAATCTTTCATTCACTTTAAGCACTTTGTTTGCTGGTGTGGTGTGCACACATTCTAAATGGCATTGTACTGTTTCTATTCCTTATGGTGTAATATCTGTTGAGTTGAAGTTACCAGAAGGTGGATTGAACAAGAATGAACAGTGATGCTGCTGTCTACCAGATCATACAATGTGTTGTGTCTCTTCTTGGAAAAGGCTGATTTGTGATTGTATTCATAGTATTTAGTATTTAAATAGTTTTAAATACAAATTTTTACGTCTGTGTTGTGTAAGCGGACCCACCATTTGAATTTAAATACATTTTGGTTCTCTAGAGTTTGTTTTGTATTTTATTGTGGTCTTGTTTCATTAGCCTCAAATTCAAACTTTGTTTTTGATAGTTTTCTTAACTTTGTACTTTTTGGGTAAAGTCAAGTCTTTTTTGGAACTTTCTTTTGTCCACACACCACATCTCAAAACACAGAGTCAAATAAACTGAACACATTCCCTGTGAGTGGTTATTCTGTAGAGAATGCAGTCGGTTTCAGATGAAACAGCATACCACAGACATGAGCATGCTTCAGTTGAGGTGTGGCATGGGTGGGGAAGATGCCAGTATCCATAAGCATTTACCAGTGAAGACAAGAAAGAGGTCTTACGCGTTTTCAACAACCTCTGGATGTGAAAAGTGGACAAGTGCTAACCTTAAGCACTCATCTGCACCTGTACTTAGACATTGCCACTTATTATTGCCACAAGTAATTATTTCTTAATATCAGGTGTAAACAAAACATAATATTGATTAAATAACTACAGCATACTGAAGCATAAACAAATATTATACCATTTACTGCACACTGTTTTGGTGTTTTTAGTGTTAAACTATAGTGGCAAATGAATTGAAAGTATAGCACTTCAAAAGCAAATGGTTTTAACAAATAAAATTTGTATTTTTTTGTATTTGTATTTTTTCAATTTATATTACAAACACACACACACACACACACACACACAAATGCAAGTGACCCTATCTGTGATAATCAAGATTAAAAACTTTGTGTCCCAAATGATACATCATACACTATGCACTTAAACTCAACAGCATAGTATATGTATGTAGGGTCATTTCAAATGGAACACCAATGTTTTTTATTTTATATTTTATATTCACCATCAGAAGGTGGTATAATCACTCCTGTAAGAGAATTTTGCACAGTCCAAAATAAATAAAGTAATCCAACATAAGTGCCCGAAAGCTCCACCCTTTCTGCTACACGAGCAAAGCAGCAGCTGTTGAGTGCATGAAGTGTTCAACATTCCACACTTCTTCTTAACGGTTGAATAAGTGCATTATTAGGGTGTTTAATGCGGGCTTATTTTTTAGACTTTTCAGTTGGAATGCTCCACTAACACTATTTACACTATAAAATGGAGAAGAATAGTGCATAAGTATGCAATTCTGGAAACACCTAAAGTATTTTTGCTTGATTTGCGGGTTAGACAACTAGACTGCAACCCTGCAACTCAGTGTTTGCTCATGCGTGCTTAAGAAATGACACAAAACATAAAGAGTTAAATGAATGAGCACGGAGCTCCACGTTACTTTCACTTGAGTTCAGTTATTTGAACTTGCATGGGACAAAAACTGTGAAATTTTTTCGTGCATTCTGCATCATTCGGGCTGTGTGGCAATAATTTGGTTTCAACTCACACATTAGGATGGACTTTGGCACAAATACTTGATTCATGATTTTGGTGTGAACACAGCATAAGACAGGCAGAGAAGGGATGTCTCTGATGATGAAAGATGATTGACATTACATCAATATATCTGTAACTCACACACAAAATGTACCCGAATGTTTGCGAGGTATTAAACTATTAAAAGTTGATGAATCAATTTTGAGAAATTTAATAATTATTTATATTATAAAGTCTTAAATGCTCTTTTTTATCATTTAATTATGTAATGCAAAGTTGAATGCTAAAGTTTGTCTAAACTTAATATGAGAATACTGGGATGCTCTGTGGTTTATGAAATTGATAAAATCCTGCAGGATTTGACGTCACTGTTTTGTTGACTGCAGTAAATAAATCAACTCCATTATTCCTGCTGGTCTATAGGCGCCACCTGCTGGATGAGAGTTATTATATGAATAATAGTTCAGTTTAGACGAAGGCATGTTTTATGTAGCATAAATTCACAAAAACTTATAATGAATACAGTTGTTTTCCATCATTTTTTATTATATTTAATCCGCATGTAATAAAGCACATAAAAGAATTGTCACACTATTTTTTCTCGTTTCTAAAATATAGAATCAGCCATATAGCAGTCAGCCATGAAAAATCAAGATCAGTGTAATTATAAATTAATGTATTGAGTTGTATTAAAGGATTGGCGCAGAGTGGATTTTAAGGCTCAGCGGTGTTTATTGGGAGCAAATCAATTTATGTTTGTGCAGCAGTTGTAAAAATAAATGTATCTTTTAAAAATCAAGTTATTTTTCACATATCTTACGTTTTTTATATTGCTACTCAGCTAACATGAAAACTACTATCATATCCTGGTTCCTCCAAAGGCCCGCCCTTAAACAACTCTACTTGGTCAACGAACCAAATGTGTTGGGATTTGTGGATCGGTTCCACGTCAGCAGAAAGCATCACGCCTCTACAAGCATGCGCTTTGCTTCTGTAGTGCAATGTCAGCGCACCCATATCAGTTTTATCCTGAATCAGACACAGAAAATGAGAAGGACATAGCTGAACCTCATGCCTAGTCTCTAAAATAAATTTTGACAAGTGTCTCTCATATTTATTCGGATTTTAAGCATGTTTAAATAATACCAAATTGTTCACGTCTTTTGTCAAGTCAAATGTAAAACACACGGAAAGTGGCCATATAGAGAGACATTGCATGCGCTGGTGAAACTTGTGGGTGTAATACAGAAGCGTGAGGAGGGTATACGAGTACTGATATTGCAAAATATTGCATGGCTATCAGCCAATAATATTCGAGAACCTGGCAGAACTGCTGTGTGCATATATGTATACCTGAATTTCTGCTTCGAAGTGAGCACACTCTCACCAGCTGTGAAAGAGTGCATGTTGTAAAATGTCATGTTAACCATATGAAAATCCGAAAAACAGTATCTATGGAGCAAATAAATCTCATTTTAGGTATGGTGCTGCACTACATGTCCAGTGTGTGGCCTGTGTGATATTTTTGCAACACACAATCAGCTAAAGACAGTTTGAATTAGGGTATGTGCATTGTATCAACAGATGCATGTCTGTTATCATAAGCATACTCTGCCATGCTATTTCACACACTCATTTCAATCAATTTGTTATTTACCTGTTTTTTTTTTCAATTATTGGTGTTATTATATTCTGAAATAAACATGGAAGAAAAGTGCTCTGATTCTTAATTATTTACTTGATACTACTTGATAGACTTTAAAAGATCCAGCTGTTTTAGTGAGAACGCAGAGGGGGAAAAAATCAGCTCATTTTGACAATCATATGTAAATCTAGAAAAGACCAGAATCAATATGAATATAATTAATTTTTCTAAATCTCCCAATCATTTTTTTGCCTTTCTGTCACAAACATTGCTCCAAATTTTGAGAAAAGATGGTAAAAAAATAAATAAATCAGGTAAACTATAGGAATGGTTAAAAATATTCTAAATCATTTGCTGGTTGCATCAGCCCTGATTTATCTATTTGAAACATCTGAAACAACAAATGCAAGTTTAGTTTGAGAAATGACCAAATAACAGATTATATCCTTTAAATCCTAAACTGTGATTGAGTAAAAGAGGCTACTCCTCCACTTTAACTCACTGACTGGCACATTTACCTACCTGTTTAGATGTGCTGGCCTTGGCAAACAAATATTACACTATTGGCACATTTCTCTTACCGTCAAATTAAACCTAAATCAGACTATACAGAGTATAAATATGCATTTATAAATTATGTAGTGCAGAATGTTTATGGCATAAATGAACGTTGTGGTTTCTGTAAATAGTCAGAGGCAATAGTAACCTTCTCAAAACATGAAGTTACATGCTTGTTCTGGGTATTAGAGCATGAAGTGCAACTGACCAATCCTTCAACAGTGTTTTACTGAGCTTTGTATGTGAAGAAGTAAGCTATGTGTGTATATGTACAGATTAAGGGGTGGCTATAATTTAGATCACCTTGCTATGACACTAGTGAATCAAAATCAGATGGGCATGTTTTTACATATGCTGGCTGATAAAGAATCATCAAAACAAAGTTTCTGGGTTGTCCTTTTAAAATTTTCTTGGATGGACACACAAAGGAGCCAATTCCAGCACTTGAACAAGAAGTCAGATTTTAATGATTTGTCATTTTTAGGTTTCTCATGCCTGCTTTGTTTCCTTTGAGGATGGGACTCAATGCATTCTATGCATTTTCTTTCATGCTTTTCTGAGATGACAGACAAGTCAGACAACTAGCTAAAAAAAATAAACAAATCATCTGATGTCCTCTTTAAACTTTTGTGCAGGAAGAATTACTGGTATCAAGTCACAGAACTGTATGTAAATAAAAACTGAATAAGAAAAGAGTATGTTTACTGACCTGTGTAATAGCAGCTTCATTGTCAGCCAGACCCAGCAGAAATATTCTGGCCTTATCAATTTTGATAGGAACTGTACGGCCTCTCCATTCAACCTCACTCATTACAGCTGCCTGCTTGGCTCTTGTCTGAGTAATCAATGACTGAGAGAAAGAAAATGAGAACAATTATAAGCAGCTGTTCGTATACTGAGCAACAAGGTTAGGTTTGGAATAGCATTTCCTTAAGTTTTTACAGGTCAGTCCAATATTTGGAAATGAACATATATAGTTGGAGTGTCTAATTTAAAACACTGGTGTTACAATACCACTGACCTCCAATTTTTCAGCCATCATGCCACCCCCTCCTCCTGCACTCAGTCTCATCTGCATGAGGTCATTTATAGCGTTTTGGTCACCTAGAGAACAAACATAGATGGTTTATGTGGACAGTTGTGAGCTGCACTTTGTAGTTTAAGTGTGTCTGGGTTTTTTCCAGTTTATTTAAACCCTTTTTAGGGCAAATTGAGCATTTCCACATGTCCCACAATTTCAACCTCCACCATTAATCAGTTATTGTCAGTTCTTTCCTGAAAATACATTCCCAGATCTAATGATCTAGCAGGATATTCTACTGGTTGAGCTACAAGAGTGCAGGTTGAATATGAATCATTAAAATATCAAATCAAAAAGGCAAGAATATATATTGATAATATAAAAGGCTTTATGAATCGTGTATCTCACCAATGTTATATGCACAGTATCGGATGTTAGGTGAAATCTCTTCTACTCTCTGGTGATAAAGCACAGCCTGCTCCTCAGTAAAAGCACTTGCAAGTTTCTCATAGATGGTCCTGCAATGAATCCAAAAATATTGTCAACAAATGGAAAAAATATAAAACGCACCCAATATTACACTTACAAGTATATTACACTTACAAGATCTCAATCATGAAAGTCCTAAACCCCCCAAAAAATTACTTAAAGAGCCCATATTATGGGTTTTTGAAAATTCCCCTCCATGTAGTGTGTAACACAGCTCTAAGTGAAGTGAAGTATCCAGCTAAGGCTTAAATCTGTTAGTGTACAGTGTTTAAAACTGTTGATTCATCTATAAAAGAGTCGACTCATAGTGCTTCAAACGAGTCGCCTTGATCACGATTCATTAGGTGTTTCGCCATGACGTACGAACGAAACCAAGTTATTCACGTGCACGCGCAAACCCGGGAGATTTCAAACCTGAGGCCCCGCCCTCTGACGCAGAAACCCAGACACACACATACACACACCCACAAACACACACACACAAACATGCCGGTTGATTGAAGTCACACTGCAGATGGATATATTGAGTCTCTACCCAAAGATGAAACCTCAGCATTATAACCAAGCAGTTGGAAACTTCTGGAAGCTACATGCTACAAAGAATACTTCATCTGAGTTTGTTAAAGGAAGGATCAGTAAAGAGTAACTGATGGACGTCAGGATGGGTTTCTTCCATTTCTCAAGTGTAAGTACGTGCGGTTAAAGTTGTTGCCTCGTTTACTCTGGCTTGCAAATGTATTTAGTTGTGATGTTACTTGTAACCGCGTGTACTGTATCAGGTTAACTGGATATATTATCTTATCGCGTGCAAAGTCACGTTAAAAACGCGACGCGTGCTGTTTGTTTATGGAGCTCCGTGCTAGAGTTCTGCTCCCGCTATTTATTCGGAAATTTATTCCCGTGCCGCAGAAATCTGGCGCGGGGACAGCCGCGGGAATAAATTTCCGAATAAATCGCTGGAGCGGTCGGTAACGGGTTTAATTTGGGACGGGAGCGGGCTGTCTAGCAATATCACGGATATTGCTATGTGAATTAGAAAGAGAGAGTCTGCTTGGTATGAGAGAGCGTATGAGAGAGAGCGAGAGAGAGCGAGAGAGAGAGCGAACGAACGAACGAGCTGTGTGTATGTGTTTATACAGACAGCTTGGCTGTCTGGACTGTATACTGGGTGATTTTTGGTTGTGTTCTCCGCTCTAGCGGGACCGGGCGCGGCGGGCAGAAAACGGAGCGGGTTCTCAGGCTAAAACCTGGCGGGTGCGGGCGGAAGCGGGAGCGTTGTCATCCGGAGGTGTGTGTGTGTTTTTGTGTGTGTGTGGTATGGCGAGTACACGACTGTCTCCTTCGTTCGGTTATCCGTAGCACTATCCACTCGCCATAGTGTGGCAGCTAAAATCCACGCATACACTATCCAGCGTGTATGAACTGTGATTACTTTTTAAATTGCTGATTAGCTATTGGCCATTTCCCTCTCTGACTGAAGGCAGTCGACCAATCGCGACAGACTGTCATCGGTCCAATCAGCGCAGATTAGCTCCGCGCTAAGGAGGGGTTTGGGAACAAATGAATCACTGGACGATTCATACAGGAGTCGCTGGGATAATTAGGTAAAAATAAATGCAGATTATAAGACCATGAAAGTGTTTTTTGACCTTGCATGCATATTAGTCTGTTGTTGGAGACTCTTACAACCAAGATATGACCCTATTTCATGTATAATATGGGCTCTTTAAGAGTTTCTGAAGAAGAAAAATGTAATTGATATACAGTGTTAAAATTCCATGCTCAGTTAAATATCACTGGGGGGTGGGGGGTGGGGGGGGGGGGTCTAAATGCTTTCACTTTTTCTTATTGAATCTTAATGTCAAAGAGCACTAACTTGCAATTGTTAAAGGCCTCCATTGCAGATTTCCACTCCTGTAGTTCAAATTGAACCATTCCAGTCAGATAAGCAGTGTAAGCCTGTAAAATAAAGCAAACTTACAGAAGGATAGAGCTTAAAGTTCTTAAAGAGCTTAAAAATTGTAGAACCATTGAAAATACCACATAATACCATAAAATTCCATATTAAAATGTTTTATGATGCGCAAGAGCACACATTTGGAAGAGTGTTTATTTCCAACTTTTAGATTTTTTTTTCTAACCACGTTTGTGGTGTCACAATGAGCAGTTATCTGGCATCCTCTGTTAAAAGTGTACAGAGTAGCAATTAGTAGCATCGGTTGTTTTTTTTTTTTTTTTTTACTGTATTTGGTAACTCCAGCCTGTCAGGATATAGAGTCCACAAGTTTCCTGGTGCTGTTTTGTGCCTAGTTAAGTTGTGATGAGATTACCCAGATAGGACCAAAAACTAGCAAAGATACAACAATATGTTCCCGGATCAGTCAGAGACGTATAAATACACAGTGTACATATGCATCGTGTATATATACAGGGGTTGACACAAAAAACACTGGCCAATTTAGTGTTGGAGGCTTATGGCTAAATTTGATAAGCCTGGTGGCCAAACGTCATTCATTGCACTTTCCACCAATAAGCACAAATTGTTGGTGTGTCTCTCACTGGCCCATATGTGACCAACACAGCAAGTCTTTGAGATCTATCAAAAGCCACAGTATATCCAGTGTAATGTCAGCATACCACCAATAAGGATGAACCACATCCAACAGGAGTAACTGTGGATGCAAGAGAAATTAGTCTGAAAGGGGATGTCTGGGTGCTAAGCCAAAAAAACATAAAACCACAGCTGCACAACTCACTGCAGAATTAAATATGCACCTCTCCTGTTTGCACCAAAACTCCAATGTGAATCCTTTGATGCTATTAAGGTTTTGCAGGTAGGCATAACTACTGTCCTGCATATTTTTCCCCAGATTTATAATCATTGTATTCCCACTGAAGAAATCACATTTCATAATAATTTTCTGTGTTAACATTATTCACTAGCATTTTTTAATCACATTGACGGGTGAAAATCTGATCTATGTGCCAATGCTGCAGGCACAAGGGCAGGATATATTTCCACATATTAACGAGGCCTGAATCTGATCTGAATTGGATTTTTTCCCCTGCTTACACATACAAGGGCCACATCCGATCTGTTCAATTTAAGAAACAAAAATCTAAATTGGGTCACTTGAACCTTGCAGAGTAAATGCAGCCTTGGAAAACAATGAAAAATATCATCAGGCTGTATCACACACCCCTGCTTAGTATTAAAATTAGCTTTTTTATTAAATCAATGGACAAAGTTTAATTACTCAAGTAAATATTTTGTGGTACTTACTAAAATCATATATGTAAATAATCATAAAAAAGAACTTTGACTTACCTGAGCCTCAAGTTTGGTCTTAGCATCCACATTAGGACTTTCACACAGCTTCTCCAGCTGGTCTCCATGTTTGGCAGCCTTCCGCAAGCGACCCAGCAAATGGAAACGCTTTCTGGGCTCAGTGTTAGCTTCCTGTTTTAGCTGCATAGCATAACTCCAAGCTCTTTCTGCTTCCATTAACACTAACAACAGATATCTAGTACAGTGAAAGAGAGACAGATACAAAATGACTAAGATTAAAAAAAATAAAGCATCGTATTAATATTTCATTTAAACTGCTAAAAGTTACCGGTTGTCTGAAAGCATCTCCACGGTCACTTTTTTCCCAGTAAACTTGTGTCTGTTTCCCATTTTAAAGCCCAGAGCCTTTCTCAAACGACGCAGCCGTCTGGAGCAATAACCCCTTAGAGGAAAGAAGAAATTATTAACGTAGTTGTATTTGTGTTATAATATAACTTAACAAAAAAGAAATATCTCCCACAGTCTTACCTATAGCGCTGGTAATCTCCATGCCTGAGTCCATGCTGCTGCTGAGAGTCTTTAATAATCTGCAGAACTGTAGTCAATTTTAAGTAAAAAAAACCCAGACCTTTAAAATAGCTAACAGCATGTTTGGATATACAATCCCTTCCACAAAACACAACCGCAATTAAAAAATAAAATCACAAAAACTAGTCTGAGGAGGGCTCAATGCAGTAATTACCTATTACCGCTAATTACTCCATTTATTAAAAAAACATACATTTATAATATTTATTTATAATCTATATTATATAAAAAGCGATATTCCAATCTGTAATTGTTTAGATCAACTGACACGTATTCCATAAAAACCAAGTAGCAGCCGTCCTCCTTTTAACTGTTGAAATAATGATTGTCTCCACCACTAAAAAATAAATGATACTGTAAGTTAGATTTAGCTTTAAGGATACTCTCCAGACCAATACTCTGATCGATGCTGTTCTCTTTATTTTCCTCAGTTGACGGCATTTTTACTCCATTCTGCTCTGCAGCCATTTTTTCAGCAAGTACACGTCCGATGAACCAGCTAGTAAAAGATAGGTCCTCTGTCTTCTTCTTTGATTTCATGGCGGTTGTCAAACCAGCTTTAGTTGCATATACTGCCACCTACTAGGATCAAGTGTCCAGCTGTAATGTCGGAGGAAAAAGTTTTATGTTTTAATTTTCTTTTCAGCTTAGTTCCTTTATTAATCTGGGGTCGCAACAACGAAATGAACCGCCAACTTATCCAGCATATGTTTTAAGCAGTGAATGCCCTTCCAGCAGCAACCCATCACTGGAAAACATGCATACACACGCATTCACACACAGACTATGGACAATTTAGTTTACCCAATTCACCTAGCACTTATTTGGACTTGTGGTGGAAACCAGATCACCCAGAGGAAACCCACGCAAACACAGCAAGAATATGCAAACTCCACAAAGAAATGCCAACTGACCAAGCCAAGGCTCGAACCAGCAACCTTCTTGCTGTGAGGCGACAGCACCCACTGCGCCACCCTATTTCAAACATGCTAGGCCTACTTCAAATGATTTTAATATATAACTTTTTTATCTGCTGATGATTGTTTCAGATTTCAAAATTTACGTTTGTTTGCATATATATATATATATATATATATATATATATATATATATATATATATATATATATATATATATATATAGTTTATTATTATTATTACTGTTATTTATTTTTATCTTTTCATTTTTTCCAACATTACCTAAGATATTCCAATGCAGGGTCTCTCCAAGATCTGTGGAGTCTTTGTGTTCATGGTAAGTTTGACAATTTACATGGACAAGCACATAAGTAATTTTTTATTAACTTTTTTTGACTTTCAGTATGCCTTGTACATCACTCTTGAGGTTGAGATTGAGTATTCCTAGGTGTGTCTGCTCAACATTTTGTTAGCCAGTATAGAAGATTTTTTTTATCATTGTATTTTAACTGTCTATATTTATTTAAAACTGCCAATATGACATGCATAAGGAGATGGTGGTGTGGGCTCCTGCATGGCTCAGGGTAAGGTAGGTAGGTAGGTAGATAGGTAGGTAGTGAGGAAAATTTTATACATTTAATTTTATTTTTATACATTTAAAGTGATGTCAGGTAGCACTATAAGTAGTATAGTACAAGTTACATGTATAATAATAATTATATATACAGACGATTTACAGCCATATAGCTCTGCTAAGAGTGTACTAGTGCGTTTATACAACAGTTCACTGGCATAATCAAGTATTTAAAAAAGAAAATTATACACAGAGTTTAAAAATTTTTTGTATGAGAAATTACTTTCTTCCGCAATTCACTCACAGCTGCAGCCGACATCAGAACAGCAGAAACTGTTGCTAATTTTACCAACCTTACTTTAGAGCTAGTATTTAAATAATTCTCCAGCATAATATCTAAAGTGATGACAAACAGGTGATTTTGCTCACAATTTAAGATTAAAAGAAATGGCATCAGTCTATAGATATTCCCTAGCATTTAGTTGCAATTGGGATATCACAATAATTAACTCGAAAAAGCCAAAGCAAAGCAAACACCAGATTACTATGGTATAAATACAGCACTACAACATAGAGAGATTGACTTAGTGTCACTTAGCTGTTTTTAAATGATTTGATTAGCTGTAGTTTGTAATTACGAGTTTTCTGTCGCTGTATCTCTGAAAATATGAATGTTTCAAATAAGCACTATCCTTATAAATAAACTGTGTAGTTGCACTCTAAACAAATACATTCTACACAACTACTGTTATTGTCTTAGAAAACCATAAATGCATTTAGGAGTAGTATTAAGTAAATGGCAAAGTATGTTTTTCCTAATAAATGTGTTTCATTGGAGTTAAAGCGCTGAACGGAGTTAAGTGGTTAATGGAGTTAAGTGGTTAATGTCGGAGCGAAGGAGTATAGCCTTTAGTTTTGGTTTTATTTTAGATAGTGCGGGAGAAACGTGGCATGGCAGTTGGTCATCAGCTGCTTCCTCCTATGAGCAAACATGCTAACAGTTTAGACATGTTTATCAAGGGCAATACCCTGGAAGTGTTATTTTTGTTGAATGATTTCATAATTACAACAGCTTTTCTGTCAAAGAATATTTAGTTTGTATAACTGCTTGGTAATGTCAACCGAATTCATTGAGATGATGTTGCTGTTTAATCACACAAGAGAAAAAAATTATAATCATCATTACATATTTCAAAGAACCAAATCCAAAAATAAATCATGTTTTACATTATTAAATTAAACAAATTGACATCAATATAGACTCTGGGGCAAATGCAAAGCTGTACATACACTATAACTGTTTTATTTTTCATTAAATGTTTTCCCATTTTTTTCAGCATACAGTAATGCTATTTTGCATCAGCAGATTAACAAGTTTGTAGCAGTTACATCAGAATGATCACATTACATTACTTGTTTGTCACTGAAGAAATTCAGAAGATCAAAGTCAGTGATTCTCTGAGGCAGATATGTATTTAAGCAGAAAGCATTTGATTTCTGAAATATGCATAGTCTCTCTAATGGTGGTGTCTCTGTTACGGACCAACAGAAGGCCACTTTTTAGTGTGCTCTCACTGACCATCACTGTAAAGAGGACACCCATCTCATCATACCTGCAAGAACAAAAATAATCTTCAACATTATAATATTTCATCATCAATAATTACAAATATTGTAATTTCTTTATGTGGATGCTTTTTACTTTGTGTTCAAATTCTCCAGAGACTTTGTGTCCAAGTATCCAGGCCATGTGGAAATTCCAACTTCAAGAAATTCTTGAAGCAAACCCTCACAAACCTGAAGACAAAGATTTGTTTTTGGGTCAGTGTGAGAACACAAGTAAATAAACACAATCGCAAATAAATATTAACTGAATTGAATTGAATTTAATTATTCAATAACGTTGTTCTGATATGCATTTCTAAGTATTCATTGTTTATTTTTCCTTTAGTAAATGTGCATATATTCTGCTTATGTGTTTTGCTTATGCAAAATTTAGTTAGTTTGTTGTTGTCTCTCAGTGTCTAGTCACTTCATGAGTTTTTTTTTTTTTTTTCAAATAGCCATTTGATTTCTGAAAACGGTTCCATTTAACCACATGAATGCATCTCCACTAAATGGATATGACTATTATATGCAACTTTAACTAGGCTATACAGATACACCGCATATATTTTTTATTTTAGATGCAGGCTGTAAAACATTAAAAGCGCACAAGGTAGGCTCTGTGATTACTTTCTTATATGGGCTAAATGAAACATTTTTGTCACACAAATATGTGAAATGCATCATTCAAAACTGTAAAGATTTTAATTCATTTGTCTATAACAAACTCTACCAAAAACAAAACAATGTGCCTTTGTAAACGAATGAAACTCTATATTTTTCTATTATTATTTCTTTCTTGTCACAGAGATGCGCTACAGTTCTCTGCTGTGTCTCTGTTGTGAATGCTGTCATCTAATTATATTTTATGGTCAAAAATAAAATGAAAAGAAACATGTAATTACAACGAAAACAAACATCACAAACTGTCATCTGCGGCCTTCTTTTGCTTTTGCATTTGCACTTGTATGTCTGGCAGTCATATCGCCTACAACATGTGTGCTCTCATATTGATTATTTTCAAATTTGGGAGGAGTAAAACTTGCATATGTTGTCTCAACAACCAGATGCATTAAGATCTGTCCAGCTTCATATAAAATGTGAAGGATTCGGATTTCTGCTTTCCAATTCGTCTCATCATGGACCACCGTTTATCCTTTTCATCATCCTGTTTCTCAGTATTTACCTGTGAATTGATTTTAACTAATGAATAAGTTAAAACTGCTTACTGTAAGAATGTTCTGTGTCCTTGTTTCTCTTTTTGCCTGTCTATTTTAACTTTGTTTTCAGGAGACACACAAACCAGGTCATAGGTCATGGAGACCTCTCTCTCTCTCTCTCTCTCTCTATCTGTTCCTATGAATAGAGGTCCAATACAGAGGAGAAGAAGACACCTGTTTTATTGTCCTGATATATTGCCTATAATTTTATAGCTGTTTGATTGATCTGTTTTTGTGTATAATTAATAGTAATGTAATTCCTTTTTGTGTGAAGACAGACTGTGACTGTGTGTAGCCAAGATATTGCAGCAGACTGTTGATGGAAACAGTCTTGAACCAGCCTGATAACACAGCTGAACGTACAAGAAACATCCTTGAGTCTTTAACACAGATGGTCTTTTGTGTCTATTGTGTTCCTGGTTTAGCTTTTTACAGGTTGGAGATCAGCTCCTAATAACTTAGGGCGACCTCACCTCTAGGCATCAGGTCGCCATCCATATCTGGATACAAATACAAGGCTTTCTTTGACGCACACACTAAGGCCATCCATATCTGGAAGTAGATACTATGTTTCTTTGACGCATGTATTTAGAATTGTCTATTTCTATTGTAACCAATGAGAACTGTTTACCTGGATCCCACCCTTTCTGGACTTGTGTAAAGAGTATAATTGTTTGATTGTTGAAACTGTAAGCAGAGCGGCCTAGGAACTCATTGAGAGTGTTGAAGCTGGCTTCTGCGAATGAAACTGCAAACTATCTTCAGTAAACTTAATTTATTTTTTTAAAATCTCTGACTCCGGCTCTTCTTCATCAACCAGACTGGTCATTCTTTGGGTTAAACTGTAAACTATCCCTACAAATGCATCCTAGACCACCTCCTGAATTGACCTGAGCAATCGGTCTCAACTGCTTTTTGGAGATTATTTACACTTGTTCGTTTCATGATCGGATAGTTATTCGATCTTAAAAAAGACAGGAAGTGACCACATGTAAACAGACGCTCAGTGTTCAAGAGAACAACCAATCAATCATTCATTTTCTTTTCGGCTTAGTCCCTTTATTAACTTGGGGTCACCACAGTGGAATGAACCAACTTATCCAGCATATGTTTAACACAGCGGGTGCCCTCCAGCTGCAACCCATCACTTGGAAACACTCAATCACAAACATACACTAAGGCCAATT